GGGAAAGAGGACTGATGAATGGGGCAGTGTGGGGCTGTAGCTTAACAAAGTTAATTGAGCTTCTGGATGGCAGGTGTAGGCAGAATGTGGTCCCAGATCCTAAAAACACAGGTAGGGCAATTTGCTTGTCTGAGTTCTATTAAACTCATCTGTAGAAGGTAGCAACAGTACCCCCATCACAGGGTTCTTGCGAGGATGGGATGTTGTAATGCATGGAAAACACCTTGCATGGTGCCTGACACATGGCAGGTGCTCAGTAAACATGAAAAACACAAAAAAACTTTATCAGTCAGGATGGATGGGGTGATGCCACAGTAACAGACAACTCCCAAATCTTAGTGGCTTATGACAAAGGTTTATTTCTTGATAATGGTACACGCTCACTGAGGATCAGTGGAGGGCTCTGCTCTCACTGTGCTCTTCCAGAGCCCAGGCTGATGGAGCATCAGCTGTCATCTGGCTGTCATCATTGCGAAGGGAAAGGGAGCTCTGGAAAGTCTCCATCAGCAGTTAAATGCTCTGGCCTGGAAAAGCACACGGCATTTCTGCTCACATTTTATTGGCTGAAGGAATTTTTATGAACTTGCCTAACTTCAAGGGAGAGAGCCGAGGAAGTATAATCCTACTATGTACCTGAAATACTTGTAAACAGCTCTAATGACAGCCACATCCATCGAGGTTGCTTCCGTCTGACTTCAATGCCAATAATAATAGCAACAACTAACATTAATTGGCCACTTACCATGTACCAGACACTGCAGTAAGCACTTTGTATACATGATCACGCGTAACCCTCATAACCCTGTTCCGAGTCAGGTATTATTATCCTTATTTTACAGATGAGAGACTGGAAGTCAGAGAGGGTAAGTAAACTTGCCTGAGAATACCCTGCTGGCCTCTATTTAGAGCCCTGAGACACCACGATGGGATGGACCCCCACTGTGCCCAGGTAGATGGGTGGGGTGCTCCTAGAGGGCTGTGGGACCCATAGTAAAAACCTTTTTCCAAGTCGGAGGCCCTGGGGTCTTTTCTGAACCCCTGTAGGGAGGTGCTACAGAAGGAGAAGGGGGCCATGCCAGGTACCAGAGGACTTGTCACACACCACGTGGGGAAGAGCACAGGTTTTACCAAAGAGCTCTGGGAGGGTCACCCTCCTCCATCCTAAGGATCTTCCTGTCACTAAGTCTAAAATGTCACCATTAAATACATTCGGCTCTTTGGAGAGATGTCAGTCTGGGAGGCTGGGGGAATTAACTTTGAAGTAAAGAAAGTCAGGAGCCATGATAGCAGGTCTTGGCTCTGCCATCGCTAAATGACTCGGCAACTCACTTGGTTTCTGAGACCTCAGTCTTTTAATCTGAAGATGGGATATTAATACATGGCCTCCTTCACAGAACTGTGGTAAGGTTCGAGAGAAAAATGGTACGTGAAGTATTTTGTAATCTATAAGAGAAGTGTGTAAATGAGCTCCTCCTAGAAAAAAACAAGAACCGTTGATACATTTAGGTGGGGAGGTGGGATCCTTGATCTTTACACTTTGTTGTGCTTTTGTTTGATCTGCTAACCTTCCTTGCAAGAACAAGCAGAGCCCCAGGTTGGTGACTTTGGGTCCTGCGAGGTGCTTCTCCATGGGACTCCCAGGTAGGGCACAGCTTTGGGACTAAAGAGCCTCTAGGCCTGTGAAAGGAGGGCCAGGGGTGGGAAAGCGGCACAGACAAGGGAAGGAAGGCACCCCCTGCCTGCCTGGTGGTTGTCCTTGGGTTGCCCCAGTCACACCCCAGGAATATGTACCTGTCTGGGCAGCTAAGTTGGGGTGGAAATTTGGTGGGCGGGTGTGGGAGTAGTGGAGGGAAGGCGGAGAAGATGAAATTTTTGGCTGTCAATGCTAAATCAATGAAAGCACAGTGTGGCATACTAGCTAACACTCAGGAAATGCCAACTATGTGTCAGGCAAGCTTCTGAGCACTTTTCCAATATTAACTCATTGTAACCTCGCTGCAATCCAAACAGGTAGATACTATTAGTATTCCCATTTTACAGATGAGGAAACTGAGGCAAGAAAACTTAAGTAGCTTGCTCTGAGTCACACAGCTAGTTAGTAAAGAGCTGGGCTTGAGATCCAGGCAGCCTTCCCTAGTGTTTCCCAGCTTTTCCTGTTGAGAGAATCACCCAGAAGAGTGCTTTTAAAGACAGGGATTCCTGAACCCAACCCTGACCTGGGAATCAGCATTTTAAACACATTCAGGGAAGTGTGGATAACTGCACTGTTCCGTAGTGGGTAATAGTGTGGAGACCTGTTTGCTTGAATGGGAGGTTCATGAAGGAAGCAGCCAGAGATGGGGCTGGAAAACTTCCTGTATTCATTCAATCTAAGATACCTGAGTTGTAGGACCCACCATTATTCTATGTGCTGTAAAAAGGAAAAATACTTCTAATCAAATTATAGCCTAAAGCTTTGTTATTACACTTATTTCAGAGATGTTGGAGTATGAACAAATGTACATCTGAGGAGTGATGAGTTCTCTGGGCTGGGACCAGATTTTGGGAGGACTTTGAAGCCAGGTGCCTCGTCAAGTCCAAAGTGAGGGGTACAGCTGAGGGCCTGGTAGAACCACCTGGTGCTGTGGCAGAACCTCCCAGGGCTGAGGAGCTCTTCTCTCAGCCTCCACCCCTGACCACTGGCCCCCAGGGGCAAGTAGCTTTAGCTCTTGGAGCCTCAGTTTTCTCCCCCGTGTTCTACAAGGATGGCAGGAGCTGCCCCTTGTGCCTCTCAAGGCTGTTAATAAGAGAAGAAGGGAGGTGACACGATGACAGCAGTACAAGGTGGGAGGCAGCAGGCGAGCACACCCAGCTTGACACCATCTGTACCCCTCCTGCCCCCTCAGCCACAGGCCTGATGATTGGCTGCCTGGTCTACCCAGATGGTTGGGACTCAAGTGAGGTACGGCGCATGTGTGGGGAGCAGACCGGCAAATACACACTGGGCCACTGCACCATCCGCTGGGCCTTCATGCTGGCCATCCTCAGCATTGGAGACGCCCTCATCCTCTCCTTCCTGGCCTTTGTGCTGGGCTACCGCCAGGACAAGCTGCTCCCTGACGACTATAAGGCCGATGGACAAGGTAATTCTCTCTACTCCAGGGAGGTGCGGCTCCCTCTCTGCCAGGTGCCTGAGGTTTGGCCACTGGCCAAGGGTGGGGACACCAAGACCGCTCAAACACAGCCCTTGTCGCAGATGTCAAGGGCCAGTGGAGGGTTGCAGGCTGGCATGCGATAAGGCATTGACGGACTTTTGTGGCAGAGGCTGTCTGTGATAGAAGCATGTCCCTCTGTCCCCCTGCACTCGCAGGGCCTACAGGGGAGAGAGCCCTGGTCCACCTTGGGGAACTAGGTGTGGCCTCCCATAGGTGGCATTGAGGCTGGGTCTTGAAATAACAGGGGAGTTTGCTAGATGGAGAGAGGAACAACAGGGGAGCAAAGGGGTTGATGAGTTGTTGGGGAAGGAGGAAAGGCAGGTTAGGGCAGAGATGTGGCAGATCCTGGACTGCAGATGGTGGGAGCCTAGCCCCCTTGGGTTAGAGTAGCCTGGGGGTTCTCCGTATATCCATTTTCTGATCTGAGCCTCATTTCCCCTCATTAGAGGGTAGGAGGCAGGTATTTCCTCATTTGTAAAAAATACCTACTTCACAAGATTGTACTCAGGAACAAGATAAGGATGTCTGCTCTTGTCGCTTCTATTGAAGATTGTACTGGAGGTTACAGCCAGGAAAATTAGTTAAGAAAAAGAAATAAAAGACATCTACTTTGGAGAAGAAGAAGAAAAACTATCTCTATTAGCAGATGACATGATTTTGTATATGGAAAAATCCTAAATAAACCACTAAAAAACTATTAAAGCTAACATACAACTTCAGCAAGGCTGCAGAATAAAAGAATATACAAAAAGGTATTTGTATACACTAACAATGAACAATCTGAAAATGACATTAAAAATTTCTTTTGCAATAGCAACAAAAAGAATAAAATACTTAGGAATAAATTTAACAAAAAAGTAAATGAAATGTACATGAAAATTAAAAAACATTGTTTAAAAAAAGGCCTAAGTAAATGGAAACATCCATGTTCATGGATCAGAAGACTTAATATTGCTGACATGTCAATACTCCCCAAACTGATCTACAGATTTAATGCAATTTCTATCAAAATCCCAGCTGGTTTTTTGATTTTAGGATCGGCTTGTCAATTGGAAATGCAAGAGACCCAGAATAGCCAAAACAATCTTGAAGAAGAACGAAGTTGGAGGACACGCATGTCCTGATTTCAAAACTTACTAGAGGGGCTTCCCTGGTGGCGCAGTGGTTGAGAGTCCGCCTGCTGATGCAGGGGACACGGGTTCGTGCCCCGGTCCGGGAGGATCTCACATGCCGTGGAGTGGCTGGGCCCGTGAGCCGTGGCCGCTGAGCCTGCGCGTCCGGAGCCTGTGCTCCGCAACGGGAGACCCCACAACAGGGAGAGGCCCACGTACCGCAAAAAACAAAAAAAATCCTAACCTCGATTTGCAGCAGCTGTCAATACCCATAGTGTAAATGCTCTCCCCATGCTGGTTCCAAGCTACCAGTGTGTCATCACTGAAGATTAGTGGGGAAAAGGGGTGCAGCAGTGCTGTTATACAGCATTTTCTTTGTGCAGATACAATAGACATAGATCAGCTCGAGAACATGATGACAGCAAAATGTAGTAAAATAATTGGAAAGTAATAGGGTTTGAGTATAAAAAAAAAAAAAAAAAAAAAAAAAAAACTTACTAGAAAGATACAATAATAAAGACGGTGTGTTACTGACATACGGATAGACATACAGATCAATGGAATAAAATAGAGTCCAGAAATAAAACCAAACATCTACGACCAACTGATTTCAGCAAGGGTGCCCAAGACCATTCAATGGGGAAAAGAATAGTCTTTTCAATAAATGGTGCTGGGACAACCAGATATCTACATGCAAAAGGATGAAGTTGGGCCACCTACCACACATCATATACAAAAATTAACTCAAAATGGATCAAAGACCTAAATGTAAGATATAAAATTATAAAACTCTTAGATCTTGGATTAGGCAATGGTTTCCTAGATTTGACACCTAATACACAAGTACCAAAGAAAAAAATAAACTAGATTTCATCAAAATTGAAAAGTTTTTTTTTTTTTTTTTTGCCGTACGTGGGCCTCTCACTGTTGTGGCCTCTCCTGTCGTGGAGCACAGGCTCCGGACGCGCAGGCTCAGCGGCCATGGCTCACGGGCCTAGCTGCTCCGTGGCACATGGGATCTTCCCAGACCGGGGCACGAAACCGTGTCCCCTGCATCGGCAGGCAGACTCTCAACCACTGCGCCACCAGGGAAGCCCAAAACTGAAAACTTTGTGCTTCGAATTACACGATCATGAAAGTGATAAGACAACCCATAGATTGGGAGAAAATATTTGCAAATCATAATCATAATGCTAGTATCCAGAGTATATTAAGAACTCCTACAACTCAACAATAATAAAAAAAAAAACCCAATTTTTTAAATGGGCAAAGGATTTTTTTTTTAAGTATACAGGTTTAATTAATTTATTTATTTGGCTGCGCCGGGTCTTCGTTGCAGCACGCGGGATCTTCGTTGCCGTGTGCAGGATTTTAGTTGTGGCATGCAGGCTCTTAGTTGCAGCATGCGGGATCTAGTTCCCTGACCAGGGATCCAACCTGGGCCCCCTGCATTGGGAGCATGGAGTATTAACCACTGGACCACTGGGGAAGTCCCAAATGGGCAAAGGATTTGAATAGACTTTTCTTCAAAGAAGATATACAAATGGCCAAAAAGCACATGAGAAGATACTCAACATCATTAGTCATTATGAAAATGCAAATCAAAACCACAATGAGATATCACTTCACACCCACTAGGATGGCTGTAACAAAGAAGATGAACAATAACGAGTACTGATGAGCATGTGGAGAAACTGGAATCCTCGTACGTTGCTATAGAAAATGTAAAATTGTGCAGTTGCTGTAGAAAACAGAATGGCAGTTCTTCAAATGATTAAACACAGAGTTACCACGTGACCCAGCAATTCCACTCCTAGGTATATACACAAGAAAATTGAAAACATATGTTCACACAAAAACTTGTACACGTGTCCATAGTAGCATAACAGTCATGCATCTGATGACTGAATGAACATAATGTATATATCCATACAATGAGTTATTATTCAGCCATAAAAAGGAATGAAGTACTGATAATTGCTAGAGTGTGGAAGAAAACATTGAAGCCAGATACAAAAGACCAGATACTGTACGACCCCATTTATATGAAATGTTCAGAACTGGCAAATCCACAGAGACAGGAAGTAAATTTTAGTATTTCCCCGGGGCTCGGAAGAGGGGCGAATTGGGAGTGATTGCTAAAGTTCACAGGGTTTTTTGGGGGTGATGAAAATGTTCTAGAAGCAGATAGTAGTGATGGTTGCACAATGTAGTGAATACACTAAAAACCACTGAGTTGTATACTTTAAATGAGTAAATTTTATGTTAGTAAATTATACCTCAATAAAAAAATAAAAGATTGTGCTGAGGATTAGATAGTGTATATAAAGCACCAACAATACCTGCATATTTTAGGTGATGAATAAATGTTAGTTCTCTCCACCTTCTGTCTTTCCAGTACCTCCACTCTTTATATCATCCATCTGTCCAGCCAATAATAGGACCTGTGCTCCCGGTGCCCACTGACACCTTTAGGTCCAGGGGCTACAGTGAGGGAGGAAGTCTACATTTGGACCTTAAGTCTAGTAAGGGAGAAAATCATGCAAGATGGAATCACAAGCTGATAAACATTATGAACAAAAAGTTCAAGCTTTCTTGAGAGTGAATAAGAGGAATTTGAGCTAGTTTGGAGAGGGAACAGTGTGCAGGGAATTATCCTGAAAACAAGGCTTGGTTGTAAACACATACTGTTCTTTTTTTTTTTATCGCAGAGGAAGCCTGAAGCAACAGGAGTGTTGGTGCGTAATTTGATTGCAGAGTGGTCTGTGTTCCTTTGGAAGTGCTGTGGCCTCGCAGAATGACTCATGAAGCTGGGCTGTAGGGCCTAGGGAGAGAGGGGGTAGGGGGGTGGCTGTGGGGTGGGAGGGGGCAGGAGCTGGCTGGCATCTGAGACCTTCACTGAGGGGCAAACAGGAATCCTTTAACTTGTGTCTTGAGAAGTGGTAAAAGCACAGGGAGAGAAGAAATAATTTAAAACAGGCAGGTGGTTTCATAAACATCTTTTTGTGGAGCCTGGCAAACAAGAACAGACTGTTTTTAGAAGTCATTATTGTCATTTGGACCCTTATTTTCAGAAAGAAGTTTATGTGATTTTAAGAGACACAGTGGAAAACCTAATAAAATAGAAAATAAAAGTCATAGAGAAAAAAACAAATATTACAGAAAGCTAGGCTAACAGAATTAGTGTATTGAGTATTAAATTTAGCTCCCTGCTCCCTGATAGCTGAAGCAAAAAGCAAAACACAAATTTAACCAATTTTAATGTCTGGTTGAAAACGAAACACATGTTAATTTCCTATTGTCATTTCAGTTTCTAAAATGTGATTTAACAAGGACATGAAGGAACACCTTTGAAAAGAAAGGGTGGAGGGAGGGATGGAGGAAGGAAGAGAAGGAATAGCCCACAACAGTTACCACCTCCCTGATAGCTGTCATTTATTGAGGACTTACAGCAGGCCAGGCACTTTGTGTGGGTCGCAGGGATTATCTCCATTTAAATTATTTTATTGATCATTTTTGCTAAGAACCTTCCCATCCTTGACCACATAGACATACTTTTTTGAATAATGATAAATTAGCATCGTCCCCCCCCCCCCCACACTTATGATTCTTAAACGTTAATGTGCATAACTCACCTGGGGATCTTGTTAAAATTCAGACTGATTCAGTTGGAGTGGTGCCAAGCACTGCATTTCTAACCAGTGATACACTGCTGGGTAGGGGTCACACTTCGAGTAGTAAACAGAGTATAAACATTTTCTCATGTTTTTGCCATGTTCCTTACTGAAGTTTTTAAAAGCCACAAACTCCACAGCACTGCTGTACCATTTCATTGCTAAATGAGAACTTAGTTAGGCATCTAGCACTGCTATCATAGATAACTTTTTGCTCCTGTTGATAAATTCTGGAGTGGAATTACTGAATCAAAGCTAACTAACTACAGCTGTCTGCTTTTTTCTTTCTTGCACTACATTTATTTACATCTTAAAAGACATTTATGAGTTTTTACTTGAGGGACACTGATACTATCTTATATACTAGTGAGGAAGTTTGCATGTCTGGAGTAGAACTGAATCAAAATGTGAGCATACATGGGGAAGTTTTGTGTTTTTATTGGCTTAAAAAATGTCAAATTCTATAATCTTGCAATCTTTTTTTTTTTTTTTTTTTAATACCACAGGTCGTCTATTTCCCTGACAATGGAAAATGAGGGAATCAAATACTTCAGAAACAGAAACTTGTTCCTTCCATGTTTCCCTGTATCTGCTGCTCTAGGCCTGAAATCCTGAAGCCTTTCATTATGGGATGACAATCTCCTGAGACAAGACCTCTTACTGTATTGGGAAAACTCCAGCGAGGAAGAACTGCAGTGACCACATCCAAGATGTTCAGAGACATGTGTTTAACTCTCCTGACTGGGGACCCACTTTCTCTTCCTATCCTTTCACACCAGCAAATTGCTTTACCCTCTTGAGGCCTCTCCGTAAAATGAGAGCAGGATGAGTCTATGTCTAGGGGCCTCCCAGGTGAGTCCCTAACAGTCTAATTCACTGAGGATACTTGTTTGAAAGCACCCAGAAACTGACACCCAGCTCTAAGAGGGCGATGAAGAAGAGGTGACTGTAAGCATGCTGGATCATTTCAGGTTGAGGTTTAGGGGGTCCTTTGCTTTTTTCTTTTCAGGTTTGTTTTCTTATTGATGCTCAGAGATGCGTAAGGAATGGAGAAGTCACCAGAACCTGAATCCATCAGGATTGGGTGACTTTAGGATCTAAAAACTTTCGAGACTAAATTCTTTTTTCCCTTTGGAACCAAAAATCACATTTCTTCAGTGTCCACACTGACCCAATCAGAATGGGTTACCAGTTTTGGAAAGTTGTTACTTGTTGCCAAGTAATTTGTTAGAGTAATAGATGAACTCTCCTGTAAAAAAACAACTTTGGACTTGGTACATTAAATGGTGAATCTTTTACCAGTCTCCAGAGGGGAACTCAATTTAGGTAATACCTCACTGTAGCAAATGCCAAGACAAAGATTAGATTCTTTAGGCTGTTCCCTGCCCTGAGGATGGTATGTATTGCAATAGAAACAGGGTTTTGTTGATTACCTGCAGTGAATGATCCAGGAAGAACAGTGCTTTTTTCTGGTCTTTTGCCTGTTTCCTCAGTAAAGAGAAAACGTGGGTGCTGTTTTCTCACAGGTAGAAAGTGGGTAAATGTCGAACAAAACCATAATGGATCTTGTTGCTTGATCAACCAGCAGTGACACGGAAAACAGGCTTCTTATTCTGGGCTGCAGGGATTATTCAGAGTGCACTGGTTTAAAAGATGCCTTTTAACCAGTGCACTCTGACAACCTGCCCAGTCAGTGCAGTGTTTCTTCTCCAGTTCAGATAGGCTAGGTATGAGTATCCCAGCATTGTCCCAGTTGCTGATGATGGGGACTATTAGAATGGGATTTAAGAATCACTTTCATGTTTTCTTGTGCTGATAAAATTATTTGTCAGGCATCTACTTTATGCAAGCTTTTTTTTTTTATTTTTATTTTTGGTTACGCGGCTTGTGGGATCTTAGTTCCATGACCAGGGACCAAACCTGGGCCGACGGCAGTAAAAGAGGTCTTAACCACTGGACCACCAGGGAATTCCCTATGCAAGCTTGATGAATGGATGAGTGACAGAATTTGGCCAGTTCTGTAGCTTTGTGACTTTTCTAGATAGATTTGTTCAGTTATTTCTCGTAACTTTACTTTTTATAAAAGGCAAAAGAAAAATTTCTAAAAGCCTCCCTAACTTCAAAATATTTCTCACTGAAACGGCAACCATGGTGGTCCACAGAAGTTTCTGGGGGGCTTAAGGTGCATCTGCCTACACCTTGCTCTCAAGAACAGTGAGTTTCACCAAAGCAAGAGTGGATGTTTACAAATGACCTGTGCTGGGGACAATCTTAAATCTGTTTTGAGTCACATGACTCAGCGTTTCACCTTTTGCTTTATCTTCAAGGAAACTCAAAATTCAACCTCTTCCAATAAAGTAATGATTTTGGCTGACAATAACTGCTTATCAGCCCTTTTCAAAGTGGCTTTACCTTTAAATTCTTAAAGATGCCTCAAATATCATCTTTGAAAGTACACAGAAAAATTAATAAAACCAGCACTCCTCTAAACCAAGTTGAGTTACTCTACTCCTTCCTCTGCCTTGGGCTGGAGCACAGGAATGGTTGTGATGCCCAAGCTTTACCAGTGACTAGCACTGAGCAGGTCAAGAGAGGTAAGAAGGCCTTATCATTTACATCTGAAATGTGAAGCAGAAGGGTGTCTTTCCTAAATGCTTTCATTATCTTGCATCTCTGTATTAGTTACCTGTTGCTGCATAACAAATTACCCCTCGACTCAGTGGCTTAAAACATTTCAGTTTCTGTGGGTTAGGAATCAGCAAGGCTTAGCTCGGTGTCTCCGCCTCAAGGCTTCTCACAGGGCTGCAATTAAGGTGTTGGATCTGCTTCCAAGCTCAGTGGTTGTCTGCAGGACTCAACTTCTCACAGGTTGTTGGGCTGAAGGCCTGAGTTCCTTGCTGGCTGAGGGCCTCTCCAAAGGGCTGTTCACCTGGCAACTTGCTTCCCCAGAGCAAGTCTTCCAAGACAGAGCAAGAGCAAGTGCACACAGAAGCACCCTTTGTAACCAAATCTAAGTGACATCCTGCTACTTTTGCCTTAATCTGATTGTTAGAACAATCACAAAGTCCAGCCCACGTTAAAGGTGAGGAAATTGCACAAGTGTGTGAATACCAAGAGGTGAGAATCATTGGAGTATTTTAAAAAGTTGTTTCTCACAGTTATTTGTAATTAATTTTCTGCTGAAATGGGCATCTACTAGAATGCTTTACTGGAACAAAGATTAGATTCTAGTAACCGTACATGCTGATGGATACATGTTTGTTTTGTAACAAATTGCTGAAGATGAAGGGCCCTAACCCTCAAACTCATCCCACTTTTGCTATCTAACCTCAAGTATTTATAGTAGGGTCCACTAATTTCCAACACTGACCATACTTTCCTCTATATTTAGTAAATCCAAAGCGACCAATGAAATGTCTTAAGGGCACAACTTCTATGAACATAGCTCAAATTGCAGGCAGCTGATACACTGATTAACACAATCCAGTTCTGCCAAATGGGAGGGCAAGGCTTGTTATTGTATTATAATGGGCAACAACTAGATATGAATTAAGGATAAAAGAGAAGATTATGATAAAAAATTGAACCTGGGAGGATATAAAATCAGATTGATCATCTATGTATTGAAAACCCTCATCCCTTTACAAGGAATGGTAGTCAGTAACAGAGTAGGTACTAATGTAAACTTGCTTACTTAGTTAAAACTTCTAAACACAAAATGATCTCAAATATTTTTTTTAACTGATATCATAAGGACTTGGTGTGGATAAATATTTGAACGAGGACTTAAAAGATAAATGCTTATCACTTGTTTAAAAATTCCACCTTTTAAAAACAAGACTAAAGTGACAAAAACTTCCTCCTCAGTAGGTCTCAAGGTTCATATATTATCTTTATATAAGTTTAGATATTATCTTTTCATATTGCTTTGAAGACTGAGAAAGAGCTGTAAATTATCAATGCTTTGGTAACTCCAACGGCACCAAATTGGTGGGCAAAACACAAAGGACTGTTGAAACTTCTCTGGTGTCCTAAGACCTTATTTACAGAGTAAATATAAGTTCAGATTCTATTATCAATAAATCACCAATTTTTTGTGATACTCTTAAGAGCAAATCACTTTCCTTATAAGGCCAAACTGGAAGACTCTACAGGCATCAAAAATAAAAGAATGAGCCATAATGAAGTTGATTTGTAACCTGGGCAGGCTCTGGAACAGCTTAATGGTCTCCCTGTGGACACTCAGGGCTGTAACTCCACCTCAGTTTGACGGTTCTTTTGAGATAGCTACAAGCTCCCTTAGAACTTAAGTTTTCCAAAACCCTCAGAGTTCAAGGTCCATACATTTAACACAAAGCTTAGAGGAAATGCCTAAGTTCATCAGTCTGATGAACATACTGGTTTGATGAATTCCAATTTAATTTTTTTTTGGTTGTTTTTTTAAACAGGTTACATTCTAGTCAACACTACAGTATGAACACACTACATACATCTTAAGCATGGCTCAATTAAAACAAACAGAAAAAAAACAGTTTATGTAGTTCAGGGCTGGAGGACTTTTTATGAATGACATTAAAAATACAATAGGGACTTCCCTGGTGGCGCAGTGGTTGAGAGTTTGCCTGCCAATGCAGGGGACACGGTTCGATCCCTGGTCCGGGAAGATCCCACATGCCACGGAGCAACTGAGCCTGTGCTCTAGAGCCCGCAAGCCACAACTACTGAGCCCGTGCGCCACAACTACTGAAGCCTATGCGTCCTAGAGCCCACACACAACTACTTAAGCCCACAGGCTCTAGGGCCCACGTGCCACAACTACTGAGCCTGCGCACCTAGAGCTCATGCTCCGCAACGAGAAGCCACCGCAAAGAGAAGCCTGCACACAGCAACTAGAGAAATGCCCGTGTGCAGCAACAAAGACCCAACACAGCCCCAAAATACCACAAATAAAAATGAAAGGCAAATTAAAAACTGGAAAAATGTGATGGAAAAATGACAAAGATGTTACCAAATCATCAAGTAGGGAAGCATGCCAAAAGAAAGCTGGGTAATTGTAGGCTAATAAACCAAAACTACAAATGGCCAATAAAACCCATGAAACAAGCTTTTCACTTCACTAGTCATCTAATATGCAAATTAAAACAAGAGATTCCCCTTTTGGGGCAATCAAACTGGCTATTAGGAATAAAATGAGTGAGATTACAATAGGCCCATTCAAACACTGTTGGTCATAGCAAAACAGTCCAACTGTTCTCCATGATAAGTTAGGGAACATTCATTAAAAGCCTTAAAAACGTGCTTACTCTCTGCCCCAGCCATTCCATTTCTAAGAATTTATACTGAGGGGTGAATGAGACAAGTATATGAAAACTTGTGTATAATAGTGGTCATCAGTCCAGTGCCTTTGAGTTCACAAAACTTTTGACATTTTGCACTTTGTGATCTGTGGGGGAAAAAACCCCACAAATACTGCAAAAATGGTATCAAATGTAGGGAATAACAACTTTCTTAGAATTTTCCAAAATGTACTTTGTTAAATCCCACCCCACGCCCAATTTAAAGATAGAAGCAAAGCTACAAACCCCCAAAAATGGCATGTGTTTAAGTTACACAGTTTCATGGCATATTTAAATTCAAAAAGCAACTCAACCAATCCTTTCCTCCATTCTGAAGCTAGGTCAGATCAACTTGGGCAACAAATGAACAGAAATCTCCTGGAAACATGTAGGTTATTAAATAATTTGTTTATTGTACTGCATTTACAAAGAAAACAGACAATGCAACCAGTAGAAAGAATAAAAATGTGTTTGGGGTTTTATTTTTTACTGACAGCGAATAGAAATCCTTTAGTGAGATCCTGGCAATTTGACATTATGATTGAGTTCAGGAAAGGTACATGGGGTGCTTGGAAGATCAAATTCTACAGCTGCCTCTTTCTACGGCTTTTAATTCATCTGGCTCCTTAAGTGATAGAGGAAAAGCCCTTGTTTGGTGGGAAAACATTTCCAAAAAGTTACAGGTTCTCTCTTATTAAAATTTCTCTTCATGTCAGTTGTTAAAACAGGGCCTTCTATTTGTGTGTGTTTGGTTAGTTCACCTTAATGTCATCACCAGAATCCCTGTAATTCCACAATTGTGATTTTACAGCATAGAAAAGAATTCAGTTCTAGACTGGTATTGCTTTAGATGTATATATCGCTGAAAACCCAAAGTGGATTAGAATTGCTGAAGGATTTCCCTGCCGTTGTTTGATACCATCTATTTTCTTTATTCTTGATAGGTGCATAGAACAGCCTCACTTCAAATTCTTTCTATAGGAACATGTCTGATTTCAGAACTATCCATCAAGGATCGATGAATGGCTGGCCAGTTATTCAGGGTAATATGTTTACGAGTTAAATGGATTGCATAATTGCACCACTTTTTCCTTTGCCTTTGTTGGTAGATAAATGACAGAATCTAGATTCCAATCTCCTGTAAAGGAAGCTGGCTACCTAACAGTCTCATCCGTGCTTTGCTAGTAGAGCCTCAAGTTGCACCTCCTTGGCTTTCTGTAGCCGCTTCTGGAGAATGCTGTAATCCCCAAGACCCACTTGGTCCATGCAGAACAAGCAGCTGTGACCCCAATCCTGTCCCTCTTTTGCTTTTCAATATGACCCGAGGAATATATGTAATGTCTAGGGCAAGTCTAGGAGAGGCCCATCCTAAAATAAGATTCACAACGCCTTTACTCATTAAAAAAAAAAAAAAAAAAAGCCTCAAGTACATTTCAATCATCTCAAAATTTAAAACTTACATTATACAAAGAAATAGCAGCAGAGAATGGCTAACCTTAAACCAAACAAAAAGAGAAAAAAAACCCTACAACCCTCAAAATAAACAATAAAAAAAAGTGCCATCCCACCCCCCTCCCCTTGGTTCTTGTATCCTGGGATTTCATTTAAGACCTGAATGAAGCCTCTGAGAAAATGAGAAAGGCAAAGCCATAGGGGGAAACTGCTTTAAGGCTGAATTCTGGACAAGGTAAAGAAAAAGCTGTAAATAAAAGTTGGGGACTGTTTGTAAAAGAACCGAGAACTCTAGGACAGTTTCTTCTCAGATGGGAAATCTCTGAAATCCAGTTTTCCTTTCTAGAGTCATCCTGAATTCTTTAGTTATGGGGCAATAAACTCAAGTGCAATGAGTAAAGTGCCAGCCAGGGATTAAAAAACAAAAACAAAAAACAAAACAAACAGCCAATCAAAGTAACTCTGCCCGTAGGGTACAGAAAAGACATAGGAAAGGACAGTCTGCAGAATATATGTGGTTCTGAAGAATCTACTAGTCAGTGGTTCCATTTCTGTTTCTATCAAAAATCAGACTGAAGATTCGAGGATCTCAGAGTTATTAAAGGATGAAAGGAATTTGACAGTGCTTTGAACAGTGATAAAATGGTACCCAAATTTGGTGTTTATACAGCTCATTTAAAAAGATAGCAGTTTAAAAGTTGCAGAAAAAAATGTGAACATAGAAAACAACAGAAACAATCCAGGAAGATGATGCAGCCTGGATACAGCAAGTTTAATATCTCTGCTGTACACAGAAGTAATACCTTTCCCCTTCTCATCCTTATGCTGGCAATAGGATATGCACTAGAAAATTTGACTCTTAGAGTCAGTGAATAAAAGGATGAGCTCATACATCTTCATAGCTCTTTTTAAAAGGATGCTTATAATTTAAAGGATGTCCTAATGGAAAGACAAGGGTACAGGGGTGAGACGCTGTTTCACATTTTAGTCCATTAGTCTTTGGCAGAGCCCAATCAAGGCCAAATTCACCTAGGATGCCCAATGGCTGTGGGGGGATCTCCACAGGGTCAAATAAGCAAACCCAAATGAACATGTTGGATTCAACAAAAAACAAAAAACACCCTAGAAACCCTTGAAGGAAGAGCTTCATCCTGAAACGGGAAGAGGGAAATGCTTGGAGGGGAGGGGCAGAGGGCCAGCATGTGATCTCTGCTGCGGTGCTGGGCTGGGGCTTAGGAGTTGAGCCAAGGGTGCCGGAGACAATCAGCGGCAGTGGCCCTCTTCTCAGGGATCAACTCCAACATGGGCAGTAAGAAATCTGTGAAACCAGCTGCCTCTTCCTGACACCACTCATACTTCTCCACCAGAACCTCAAAAAGGCCCCAGGGTTTCAGCTTCGTGATGTGTTTCAGGTCACCTAAGGTAAAGAGAGTACAAAAGAAACTGACCAACACTGACAAGTGACAAGATCCTTTTGTGGAAATGCAGGAACTAATCCAGATAGTCTATGAAGAATCAAATTTTGCCATCAGAATCTAATCCTTCTCCATTCACAAAGCACATCTCTTCTCTAATGCATTCCTTGGAAAGAAGTGTCTCCATTATTCACGAGGGCCTAAAAATTTAAACTAATTTTTTTCTCCACCATTCCAGGATTTTTTGTCCCAATCAAATTGGGAAGGCCTATCAGGAACTAGGTATTCACTAAAATGAATATTAAATGCCTATATACTCAGCATGGTCTCATACGGTGTTCAGAGGCAATTTATCACCACATACCAAGAATAATTTGCTTGTACTCTTTTTTTGGCTCAATAGTTTAGCAAATGTTGCTTCGAAATAAGGCAGTAATTAAAAAACCAAAGAGCTAAAACTATGTCAAATGTATAAAAGTAACAAAACTAAAAGAACAAATAAACTTTCAGATATAGCTGTATCACACTCTGTACTATTCTGGAACATCCTCCTTGAAACAATGTTTTTTTAAAAAGACAGTCAATGATTAGTGACTTGTTAAGGTAAATGCTGCTTTATATTTCTTTTCTTACATGACACTTATTTGAAGTCTCTTCTGTGGGCAGTGAGTGCCTAATTACCTACTTGGTACATGCCATTAATTTGACTTTGCACACGAGGAAGAAACTATGAAGCACTTCACCATTTTCCTGCCTCAAAGAGAAACATTAAGAAATGTTTCTGAGGATGCCTGCTGTCAAGTGTTGAGAAAGATGGTTTTTCTCAGCACTAGTGTAGAGGTTGTGAGGAAAAAGGGAACCATGGAAAAAAGTCCAGACAGTTTTCTAGTCCCTTCTAGGTCAGGGTTTCATACTTAAGCTTTTAAATATATTTAGAATGCATAAGAAATTCGTATTTAAATACACCAACATATATTATCTAGGCAAAAATTTGAGGTGAGAGTTTTATCTTGTGTTTTCTTCACTAATAAGTGATATCATAACTTACGCAATTGAAAGCATAAAGTTAATTCATATGACTGATGTGTTGAAGTGACTGTGTTAGGTATCACGGACTACAAGGTGAGATGTAGTCCTGCCCTTAAAAAGCTGAAACTACTTGCCCTTTGATAGAACTGCCTCAGCAAAATCTGCCCATTTTTCAGAAGTCCTGTAGTAGGAGTAATCAACCATGTGCCAGCTACTATACACATAGTAACTAATTTAATATGAAGTAATCTCCATTTATAAAGCAGCAAACTGAGGTTGTGTCAAAGGCCACATAAGTAGTGGAGCAGCTGGGATCTGAACCCAGGCAGTCTAGCTCCAGGGTCTGCTAAGTCACAGCTCAGCATTCAAGTAGGACCATCTTTCTGTAGGTGTTGGGAACACGTACCCAAGCTGTACTTACCTCTTCGTTGTTAAACACTTTTGTCCCCTTAATGTCTGGGAACAAACACATTTATTTTACCTTTTTTGGTGAAAAATTCCTTGGAATATTTTCCTGCCACAATGAGCTTGCGAGGCACCTTCCCCAGAAGTTCTATGATCAATGCAATGTGATCTGTATGTTTCAAACATTTCAAGAGGGGGGAAAAAAGATATACATAACAGGGGTAACAAATGCAGTTCTAGATATTGGCAGAAAGAGTAGCATGCACACCTCTTTATAAAGCATTTCAGCTTGCTTTCTGTCCTAAATGGGAAGAAGAGGACTCTATCCATCTAATGGAGAATCCAGAAAACCATTAAAAATCAGGTACCCACTCCAGTGGGACTTGAGTGATAAGTAAAAACAATCTTGGTGTGAATGCTCTGCTTCCTGAAGTTGCATCCCTGGGGCCTAGATGAAAACTCATGTTAACAATACTACCTCTGCGATTGAAGAAGTCCTGTGAATATTTCCCACTGAGGGCAAAGCGTCTTGGAATTCTGCCTATCAGCTCTATAATGTGCGCAATGTGGTCTAAAATAGAAGGGTAAGAAGAACAGGATCAAGGACAAGCTGTAAAAGAGGTTTTTCTATGAACAGCTTTTTCAAGAGCTAGCTGTTTAAAAGTAAGTACAAATAAAACCGAGGATACTCAAGGGAAGACTGGGAAGGCCAAGAATTATTTCCAGTGGTTTGTCACTTGATAGTAGTTGGCAAGTCCCATTCTGGAGTTTGGAGGCTCATCTATAATATTTTATTTCTATTTTGTCTATATCTAGGTCCAGGGGGGATTTTCAGCTAAGCTAAAAGAGTGTAGCAATATGCTTTAGACATTCTAGGACAGACATTTATTTATAATAGTGCTCTGGGCTTCACAGAGTAATAATATCACTTTAAGAATGTTCATGACAAAGCACTCACATATGATCGAGTTTTCACAATCACCCTGTAAAACAGGCCAAAAATTAATACCCCATTTTAAAGGTGAAAAGTGGAACCTCTGGGAGAACGGCCTACTTGAAGCCAAAAGGCCAATAAGAGCTAGAACTCAAATGAAAACCCCTACCCTATCATGTCTAGTCCAGAGGTTTTTTCATTTTGTCTGTTTTTTAATTTAAAAAATCACATTATTAAAGAAAAAATGAGCACAAACATTTAAAGTATAGCTACTTGACTATCTTTGGCCACTAAAATGTTTACGTCATGTAGTGTCTTGTAACTGTCACAGCAGGCATATGGACTGTGAGCACTGCCAGCGAGGTGGGCAGTCTGCCACCAGCAGATGAGCTTGGGACCAGCCAGCATCCACACCTACACACAGGTCTATTACCTTTTTCTGCAGGTGACAAAAAGTAAAAATATGAAGAGGCTTTAAAAAGTGATGGCTCCTAGCCACAAAACAGCTTTAAAAATGACTTTAATCCTGTAGTTACAGAATCCAGGTCGAAAGCAATCACTTAAAACTTCCAATAATGTATCTTAGAGGAAAATCATATGCTAGAGACATACACTTATCTGGGAATTTGTGAAGGTTTCAGGTCATATCTATTTCTCATGTAAAGGACTCAGTGGTGTCATTTTAAAAGAACTTTATGAATTCACTATAACTTTGGGGCAGTTTTTACTTAATTTATGGTTTGGTAACAAGTATTTGGCTGCCAAAAAATTTCTGCCAATTTTAGGCAGGATCTGCAAGTAAAATATCTTTGTATAAATTAATTATAAATGAGACTATAATTTGTCTTACTGTAAACTTCCAAGTAAAGTATTGGTTCTTTTAATATTTTTCCTACCAAGGAATTATTTTTCCCTTAAAATTGTTATATTACTTTAAATTCCAGCAACCTATCTCTGGCTTATCAATTAATCATAGGATTAATATATCTGACAGGCAAAATTATCAACTATTATTCCAAGATTTGGCGTTGTGGAATATCCCTAATAACAGAGGACATGCTACTTAGGCCCCAGTCTTACCAGGACTTGTAACACTATGCATACACTAGCCAGGGGACAGGGTTTGCTTTTTCCTGCTCCTATGGGCCAAACAGTAGTAATCTGAGGTTTTATCTAAGGGCTGGAATAGGAGGGAATAAGTTAGGATACAAATATCTAGGGTAACTGGTTCTCCCTTTTCCCTTACTTGAGTCTTTTCATATACATTTCAATTTTCAGGTTTGGTAGCATAAGATCCTGTACAATGTAATTCTAGCCACTATATGAGTCTGTACCACACACTATTTATAGGGAATCCAGGGAAATAAAGAGAAAAAAGTTAATTGCCCTTGCAAACAGATATGATAGGGCATTTCTAAAACGATGTTAAGTCCACAGCCCCAAACTTATAACCCCCAAAAAAGCAAGCAGATAACAGGGAAAAATCAAGTGTGCACACAAGTAGTAATTACAGTAAAAGGGGCTTATATACAGAAAACATGTCCAAACTGTACCCACTAAAACAGGCATATGGCTATGGTGATTAGTTAGCAGAGCATTTTTCAAACGGTACTTATTAGGAATATCAACATTGCCTTTTGACATCCCAGGGGACCAGTTTGAGAAATAGCATTGTTGGTTCCATAAAGCACAGAACCTGATTTCCCCAAGAATCAAGGAAAGCACAGAAAGTAAAAGACGTATTTTCCACATTGGGAGGGTACACTGGTAGTGCTCTCTCAAAGTAATCCCCATTAATCCTGAAAACAAAAGCGCCAAAACTGTATAATAAAGAAGGTAAAACATTCCTTTAATAAAGTTTTCTTATTCACATTATTATTTCATCTAGTTGCTTGAATGCCACTATGCTTTTTAAAAAATCATCACATATTTAGTTGTCTGCTTTCACAGCCTCTCAGAACATCTGACACCTTGGGCTTTTCCCACTGGTATTGCAAAATATAAACTAATAATATTTTGTTTTAAAATGGAATCCAAATGTTAGTATCATTTAAAAAGAAAAATACAGCTTTAATTTTCAGAAAGGAGAAAAAAGAATGCTAAATGTTGTACAATTTATATAGACAAATAGGATATATTCTCTGCATTCAAGTAGTGTGTATCTGATAAAATCAACTTCCAAATAAAGTTGCAAGCGTAACTGGGCAACAAGTTGATGAACAGGCAGATCCAAACTGGGTAAATAATGAATCACTGATTTACACAGGAAGGAAAATGACTAGATGTTTTATACGAAACTTGGCAAATACTGGTTTGGCCAAAAGGTTCCTTCGGGTTATTACGTAAGATGGCTATAGTAGCACTTACCTGTCTTTAACTTCATTCAAAACAATTTTTTTAGATTGTATGTGACAGCTTGTCTTATCAGTGTGCATTTAAAAAAAAGACTCATCAAAATTGGTGAATTTTTGTGAAAAAAGCAACATTTTCGGCATATTATGCTTTATTATTTCAAGAAAGGTAAAAACGCAACTGAAACGCAAAAAAAGATTTGTGCAGTGTATGCAGAAGGTACTGTGACTGATAGAATGTGTCAAAAGTGGTTTGTGAAGTTTCATGTTGGAGATTTCTCGCTGGATGATGCTCCATGGTTGGGTAGACCAGTTGACGTTGATAACGATCAATCGAAACATTGAGAACAATCAACGTTATACCACGCAGGAGACAGCTAACATACTCAAAATATCCAAACCAAGCGCTGAAAATCATTTGCACCAGCTAGGTCATGTTAATCGCTTTGATGTTTGGGTTCCACGTAAGTTAAGTGAAAAAAACCTTCTTGACCGTATTTCTGCATGCGATTTTCTACTTAAATGTAATGAAAATCTTCCGTTTTTAAAACAAATTGTGACGGGCGATGAAAAGTGGATACTGGCGGGCGCTTGGGGGAAACTAGGCCTCTGTCAGTGTCCAAAACCGCACCTGCACCACGGCTCCTGTTCACCCTGACTCCTGCTCTCACGGGAACTTTTGAAGCCTTGCTTGGTAGGACGGGGTGTCCTGGAATGAGAGACTCCTGGGACCCCTGGTTCCTGTAGAGGCCCACGTTCCCATAAACAGCGCGGCCGAATAATGGCTGACTGTTGCCACCTTTGCAGTAGCAGTAGCTGATTGTATTCAGCGGGTGCCCCACCCGGTGCCCTACCCCACCCCACCCCCGCCCAACGAAGATATCCAGGTGGTCTGACCGGGCCATGAACCCACAGGCCTGCAGGGCCAGAGCTGACCAAGGCCTGCTGAATGGGTCATTTACATTTATGCAGCACTTCAGGACTCTTCTCAGCAAACTGCCAGGGCTCTGCTGTGGGAATCTCCTTGGTATGCAGGCACAGACGAAGCCCCATCAAGATGGCTGGTGCCCCAGGTGGCATGTTGGTAACTGAAGTGAGTCCTCTAGCTACATTGCTGACCTCTGAGAAGATTTGGCAGAGTCTTCTGGTTGAGAACTAAATATCAAATTGTACCAGGAGGATCACTTTTCAGTGACTCACAGTGGGCCATGGTCTGCTATTCTGAGCAGTGGCCAGCATGTATTTTATATATTCTCAATAAAAGGGATCACAGGATTATAAAACAAAGAAAAAAAAAAAGTGGATACTGTACAATAATGTGGAACAGAAGAGATCGTGGGGCAAGTGAAATGAACCACCACCAATCACACCAAAGGCTGGTCTTCATCCAAAGAAGGTGATGTTGTGTACCTGGTGGGATTGGAAGGGTGTCCTCTATTATGAACTCCTTCCAGAAAACCAAACGATTAATTTCAACAAGTACTGCTCCCAATTAGACCAACTGAAAGCAGCACTCGATGAAAAGTGTCCAGAATTAGTCAACAGAAAATGTATAATCTTCCATCAAGATAACGAAAGACCGCATGTTTCTTTGATGTCCAGGCAAAAAATGTTACAGCTTGGCTGGGAAGTTCTGATTCAACTGCCGTATTCACCAGACATTGCACCTTCAGATTTCCATTTATTTCAATCTTTACAAAATTCTAATGGAAAAAATTTCAATCCCCTGGAAGACACCTGGAACAGTTCTTTGCTCAAAAAGGTAAAAGTTTTGGGAAAATGGAATTATGAAGTTGCCTGAAAAATGGCAGAAGGTAGTGGAACAAAAGGGTGAGTATGTTGTTCAATAAAGTTCTTGGTGAAAATGAGTCTTTTATTTTTACTTAAAAACTCAAGGCACTTTTTGGCCAACCCAATACAAGTTTTAGTTTAACCAATTGTGGCCTTTTCTCTAATCCTTATATAGAATTCTTTAATATCTATTATAAAATATCTAGTATACCTAATACTTAACATAAAATAACTTATATTTCTATCTTTTCTGGGACTTATATATACTTAGCACACTAAGAAGACTAAGGCTCTTCAGTACTAGCAAATTACATTAGCCACCGTGCACAGATATCCTTGGTTGAGGGGACTTACCTTCATCTCGAGTGTACTCTTCCCCTGAATGAGGTTCAAATAAATAGTCGCCTGTGGCCAGTTCAAAGGCCTAAGAAAAAGAGGGAAGCTTATGAAAGCATAAAAAAGAAAGACGTTTGGGAAGTTTACTGCTATTTGGCTCAATTTTAAGTAATTTTTTCTTCTTGGAAAACCTGCAAATGATTATTTTAAAAATTCTCTAAGATTATTCCTAAAAAGCTTTCCTTTCACACCTGTACCTTAATAAAATGGAGCAGGAAAACTGCAAAAACTCAGTTAATATGTGGATTATTCCAAGCCCTGTACACCCCAATCCTTCAATCAGTAATTCAGCTCTCTTAAGTTTCTCTTTTTGCTCAGAGAGGGGCCTATCTAAGGTGATTCTAAGTTATTAAATTATTAATGAGATAAACATGAATAACTTATAACTTCACATGGCTAGAAATTAACATTCTGCATCTAAAATCAAAACCAAAAAAATTCAGACACTTTTCTACCTATGACTCTTCAGTGTTTGGTAAAAAGTACATTTTTAAAGTTTTGCTTTGGAAAAGCACTGTCCCAGATAGAGAGTTCCCAATTCCTAGGTCTACAGAAAATCAGAAAAAGATTAAGTATAAATGGAGTCAGGAGCTACTCATATTGACCAGCAGGTTAGCATTCACCAACGAGGAAAAGGCACATGTCCCCTATAACAAGAAAACGTCTTATTAAACAGTGTTTGAGAGGGACTGAAAAAGTGATTTCCTCAGGAATAAGTGTCAACCAGTACAGAAGGACAGCATGTGAGTGATGGGGTTATATTAATTTTTCACTGACTAAAAATAAACCAAGTAATTTAACAGCAGTTTTAAAAAGGACCTTATTGATATAAAAAGTACAGTTATAAGTCAACTGCTAGCCATGGGTCAGTTCTGGTTGACTCAATGGTACTAACTAGCCCAGACAATCTCAAGAACTGTGGAGTGGATTTAGTTGGGGCACATTCTCAGTTCAGACCCATGTCTAGGTCTTGGTGGTTTGCCAGTGTTACGATAGAATAGTCTTTCTCAAAAAATGTATAACCTGGGCTGTACCACTACCCAGAGCAAGGCCACAAAAGCAGAAGTTTCAGGATTGTCTCTAAAATGTCAGAGATGCTGTGGCTTCTTGCTAGGCATAGCTTGTTTTACATGCTAGCAGTTTGTTATGAAACTGAACTACACTGATAGAACAGATACCTGTTTCACCCTCTAATTATCCTGAGGTTTACGGTCTCAAAGCAGAACAGAAACAATGTGTGATTCTTATTCATCAAAGTTTGTCAGTCTCTTCTGAAACCAGTACTTTAATTTTTCCATCTCATAGTGGGGGATTCAGTGAAGATATTAAAGCTAAAAAAAAAAAAAGTAGATAGTTTTCTAAAAGTTTAAAATATTCTAAAATTTTCCACCTAGATACTTATAACTAGTTACCTAAAGTTCTCTAAAAGAACTTTATTTTTGGAACATAAGGTAGTTGCTAGTAGTTACAATTTTATAAATAACAGTAAAAAAACCAAACCAAACCGAAAGATCACAACATCAGAAATGAAAACTAGTAGAAACTCTAGATTACAAAACACCTAGTTAAACATCTTTCCTTTACAGTTGAGAAAACTGACCAGAACAGAAAGGCCAAGTCCATCCTAGAATCCACGGCTCCTGGTGCCCACTCCTGTGCTTGTCTCACACTGACCAGAGGGCCTATTTTACGTCAGTCAGGGTCATGCTAACAGACAGAGGCAAAATCAGGGAAGGTATGATAAATCCAGTGTGCTGGTACATCCAGATAATGGAATATTATTCAGTGACAAAAAGGAATGAGCTATCAAGTCATAAAAAGACATGGAGGAACCGTAAATGATATTACAAAATGAAAAAAAGCTAACCTGAATTATACTGTATGATTCCAACTATGACATTCTGGAAAAGGCAAAACTATAGAGACAATAAAAACATCAGTGGTGGCCAGGGGTTGGCAGGGGGTGCAGATGGATGAAGAGACAGAGCACAGAGGATTCTTAGGGCAGTGAAACTATGCTGTATGATACTATAATAGTAGATACATGTCATTACAAACTTGTCAAAATCCATAGAACGTTTGGAGAATTTTAAAACATCTATTCTTTATTAATACTTAATGTTCTTCACAGAGCATTCCCTTCTTATAACTGTCCTTCTAACTTTGTAGTCTCAATCACTGAAGTGGCAGGCAATCTCACAACTTGCCTTTTTACCTCAGAAAGGGTCCCAATCTTTCCATCAATTAATTGTACTAGATGAAGGATGATCCATCTCTCCAGGCACTTCTGATATTCCAAGATTTATTTTTATTCTCTGAGTATGGTGAAATTTAAAGCACGTTTTCTACATCTATTAGCAAAATGAGAGAAATTTGGGGGAACAAATGGGCCTCAAGTTTTCATGATATTGTCTCAAGTCAGGTAAGTGCTTTCCCTCCTTTGGTCAAGAAAATTCCTGCACATGAGCTGGTCCAAAGAGGGGCCAAGGTGAATCCACCCCCCTTCCATCTTTTTTGCCTTTTTGCCGTCTTAAGCCTGACACTGTACATACTATGTTACATAGCAAGCAGGAGCTACTGCCCTCAATTAACCCACTACTAAGGACCACATCATAATAAATCAGATGCCACCTACAAACAAGCTGTATTTTGTATGGCGGCATCTCTATCAATTATTTCCTCTACCAACTCAATCCAAATCAGATTCCTCAACATAAAGCTTTATAGTATGGCAAGAAAGAAGATTTTCTTCCAATGTTCTTTCATCTTGTGCACACAATACCAAATCATCTTCAATTTAGACAGCCCTCCCCCTTAAAAGACCACAGACATGCCATAACAAAATAATTTAGAAGGTCATGCCATATTAACATTAAACTTTATTATCTTTGGAAGACAAAGGTTTTCAGGAATGTGGGCGTCAAAGAAATCTATGACACAAAACAGGTTGGGGCTTCTAGTCTGTCCTTTCTCTTTTAAGTTTTACCCAAAGTTGACTATAAATACTAAATGTTAATTGAAATGACAGTTTAATATGTTTCTGATTTAGTTCACTCATTTGATGGTCCACAAATATTTATTAAGTATTATTGTACACTAAAGAATTTGTTTGATCTTGTTCCTGCTTCCCGGGAGGAAGCCTCTCAACTCTTGGGCTTTCCAAGTGATAAACGCGCCTTTTGTTATTCATGGTGGGCCCCTTCAGACCACACTTAAGTTTATACTGATGAGGTGACTCATAGTGGGCCCCTAGACACAGTTTCAAGAGGGGGGCTGGATATGCCACCAAGTTGGACAAGACCAACTGTACAATTAGAGGGTTGAGGCTTTGGGCTGAGTGTTGTCAAAACTGACCTCCCAACCTCTCAGGAAGGGAAGGGGGCTGGAGACTGAGTTCAGCCACATGACCAATGATTCAATAAATCATGCCCGAGTAACGAAATCTCAGTAAAAACTTTGGGCACCTAAAGCTTGGGTGAACTTCCCTGGTTGGTGATACACACTGACGTACCAGGAAACTGATGTGTCCTAAGGACACAGAAGCTTCACCTTTGGTACCCTCTCAGACCTCACTGTATGCATGTCTTCATTTGGCTGGTCCTGATTTGTAACCTTTATATCAAAACTGTAATATTTTAGCAATTCCCTGAGTTGTGTGAGTCATTCTAGCAAACTACTGAATCTGAAAGGACAATGGAAACTCCCAATTTGTAGCCAGATGGTCAGGAGGTGCGGGTGGCCTGTGGACCCGAGCTTGCAGCTGGTGTCTGAAGTGAGGGTAGTTTCGTGGAAAACTATGCCTTTAATCTGTGAAGTCTGTGATAACTCCGGGAAGTTAGCATTAGCAGTGCATTGCACCCACTCAAAATGTCCCAGGCCCTGCACCAGACACTTAGCTATACATTATAGACATGGTTCCTGCCAGTACTTAAAATGAGTGGAAGAGAAAAAAGTAAATCCACAATTACAAACTGAAGAGTAGACTCCACTTCAGGAAACAATATAATGTGTTCCAACATGAGGCTATCTGTGGGAAGTCATTTAATATCAACTAAGTCTGACTACTTGAGTAGTTGCCTGACAAGGACAAAGCAGCAACTTATGAATCCATGGATGACTGAGCTTCACATCCTGTGAGGTGCAAAGACAGCTGAGTGACTGCTAAACTGTACAGAATGAAGCAGTTTCCAGGGTTTTCCTTAATCTGAAAATAGATCAGAGCTGAGAGGGCAACGGTAAGGGTAACCTCTCCTCATCAAAAGCAGCACCTCGTCTGAGCAGTTGTTTTTAGCCGCCCCGCAACCCCAATCTGTAGTAGGAAACATTTGGTTCCTTCACCTAACAGGAATTTGGCAGGAACCGAATGGAATGTCAGATGTTTGTAACTAAGCTTTTAAATTCAGACCTCTCCACACAGGGATTCAGAGTGCCAGTGATGAGTCAGAAAAAAAATCCTTTTCTGTTTGTTAATCCACTGGTCTACTGAAATTAGCAAATTACCACGTAACAAGTTAAAGTCAATGGGAAAAACATTACCATGCAAGCTGTGCTCCAAATGTCAGCAGGGGTATTATAGCCAGATCCTATCAGAACTTCCAAGGAGCGATACTGCCTTGTCTGAATATCTTCAGTGAAATGTTTGTGCTGAGTAAATGAAGAAAGAAACAGTATTTAAAAATTCCTTTACTCTAAAAAGTAACAAGTCATGATTGCTTAATAATGGAGATTAAAATAAGTTCAAGAAGCTTTCCCCAAACCAAAGTTCCCATGTGGCTAATTTCTTAAGTATCATTTAGATGTTATTAACTCCAAACAGCACTTTTCTTTATATGCTGTCTACTCCAAATTATTTCTCTAAACATGAGTCTGAACTTAATATAGATACACAGGTTAGGGAATGACATTCGCTTTTTAAGAAATGGAAACCTATTACCCCAAACAAAACTTAAGTTGTTCATTTGTCTAAAATTAACAACTTGTATTTCAACAAATAAATGATACAAATTTAGGTTCAGTTCAAACTCTTCTTGCTGTGTGCTCATTATAGGAAAATAAAAGGTGTAAGTTTCAAGTTTTAAGAACCTTATAAACACCACCTATAAAGACTTCTTGCCCTCATTCTCTTTTGCCTCCCTCACTCCTCCAAAAATATCAAACATGAATCTTGGGGAAACAGAGACCATGTTAAGCACCATGGGGATGCAATCAGCAAAACGTTTCTTTAACACATGTATGGGAAAGAAAGGGAAAACCTCTATATAAAAGCAACTTAAGAGACACAGTACCCAGTCTGGCATTCATGGATTTTATTTGGATCTTGTTCTAAACAAACAAAATTAGAGGAATGTTTATGAGATAACTGGCAAAACTGACTGAATATTTGATATTAGTTAACTGTCAACCTTTTTAGGTGTTAACAATGGTGTCATGGTTACCTAAAAGAATCATTTTTTAGAAAGCCATATTTACAACTGAAAATAAGATGCCTGGGATATACTTCAAAATGATCTGGAGAGGGTGTCAGGGTGGGGATATAGGTGAAAACCAGGCAATGAGTTGATAATTGCTGGGTGACACTAGTATAACGGCAGGGGAGTTCATTCTACTCTCTACTTTTGTATAGGTTTGAAATTTTCTGTAATAAAAAATAATACAGAAAAAAGAAGCTTCAAATGAGTCACACACAGGAAACAAAATTCAGATAATATTAAAACATGTAGTGTGAAAGATGATTTTCTAATCCTATTAAAATTTTAAAAAACAAACAAAAAAACAAGGAACAGCATTTGTGAACAGGAGAAATTAGCCAGAGAAACCTTCAGGTAGAAAAACCAGCATTGACCAGAGCTCCACAGGGTACTGGACTAAGTATACAAAAGAGCAAAAAGTACTCAGGTGGAGGGAACATGATAAATAAAGGCAAAGAAAGACATTTGCTAAAGCCAAACATAGCTAACTGCTAGGTTGAAGAGTTTCAATTTCATTTGGCAGACAAGAGAACACCACTGCACGCTAGTAAACAGGACAGTGTACTGTAAGAAGACTGATAGGACCTCTGAGAACACCATTCCAATAATCTTCTGGTTTGTGGCCAGATTTAGGCTTAGTAATGAACATCTGAACAATGGCTGTGGAAATAGGGAAGGAAGAGTTAAAACCAAGGACATTCACAGAAAGAATGAGCACAATTTAAAAATTCAATTCAAGTGGGAGACAGGAGGAAGAGTCAAAAAGAACTTTGTGGTAGAGGCTGTCGACAAAAACACGGATGGAGAGACTTAAGAGAGGGAAGTGGTTTTACAGGAAAACAATGGGTTCAGATACTGAGTTTGAAATGGAAATGTACTATAGGTGATACAGTTAGATAAATGAACATGCTGTTCAAGGGAGTTGTTTTTACTCATTATGCCTCACTGCTGCCTTACAAATACACTGTAAATGATAAATGAGGTCAAGAATCAGCAAAAGTAAAGACGGTGGATTGGAAACATACACATCCACTCACTCCTGAAACTCCACTTTTGTAGCGAATCCAGCATTAATTTTTTTTTTTTTTTTTTTGCGGTATGCGGGCCTCTCACTGTTGTGGCCTCTCCTGTTGCGGAGCACAGGCTCCAGACGCGCAGGCTCAGTGGCCATGGCTCACGGGCCCAGCCACTCCACGGCATGTGGGATCTTCCCGGACCGGGACACGAACCCGTGTCCCCTGCATCAGCAGGCGGACTCTCAACCACTGCGCCACCAGGGAAGCCCCAGCGTTAATTTTTAAAGCATAAACTGACAAAGACAGAGAAGGCAAAGAAGTCAGAGCAATACTATTTAGAAGCTGGAAAGCAGAGAGATCACTGGCAAGTGTCTTAATGGATCCAAGAAAGCTAAATAATAAGCCACTGGTGAAAGCAGAGAAGCAGTGTGAGGTATTCCACAGTAGTCCTCCCAAGGCTCAGGATTCGGTGGTATCAGGTATCTCTGTAAGTAGCGGGGAGGGTGGGATTCAACAAAGGAATACTGCTTTAGAATATCTTTTAAAGAAACAGAGCTCCAGAACACAAGGCATGATGCAGTATAACAGCCTTTCCCTGGCCTGACAGACACTTAGAGGTTTTCTCTGGAGTGGGTAATACAGTTTCTGGAGGATGCTCGGCATGGTTGAGGGGAGAGTACTATCCTGAAAACAGGGAAATTAAGTGACTATATGTAATTGCATGTTGAACCCCAGTTTTCTTGCTTAAGTCAGTTTCCAAAACACTAGCAGCCAGGCATTCACTCCCCAGGTAAGAGATCTGAGGAAGACTGTAAGTTTTCTGCAGGAAGTATGACCAATCCAAGACCCTGACATCTGAGGATGAAATGAAACAGCTCAGACAAATCATTTTATAGTGAATGACAGTCAACAAGAACCACCCAGGCACAAAGCTTCCAAACAGCTTTCTGGCACTCCATTCATATGGTCAGTTTTTTGTTTAATGATCCTGAACAAAGAAGGCAAGAGACACTATGTAAAGAAGAAGAGGTCTTCCCTGGTGGCGCAGTGGTTAAGTACCCACTTGCCAATGCAGGCGACATGGGTTCAATCCCTGGTCCGGGAATATCCCACATGCTGTGGAGCAACTAAGCCTGTGCGCCACAACTACTGAGCCTACGTGCCGCAACTACTGAAGCCCATGCGCCTAGAGCCTGTGCTCTGCAACAAGAGAAGCCACCGCACCGCAACAAAGAGTAGCCCCTGCTCACCACAACTAGAGAAAGCCGGCATGCAGCAACGAAGACCCAACGCAGACAAGAAAAAAATCAGACACTTGTGAATTACAGGTTGATAAAATGAATATTTAAAAAAAAAAAAGAAGAAGACAATGTCAAAAATGAAAAAATAATCAATATCCTCTCAGAGATAATCAGGGAACCAAAGAACTCTTGGAAAGTAAGGATATAATAGGAGAAATAAGAAAAAATAAGGCTTAAAAGAACAAGCTGAGAAATCTCCCAGAAAATAAGCAAAAAGAAAAATACTAGAAAATAGGAGAGAAAGGTAAGAAAATGAGAGAACCTGCATAAATCTAACATTTGAATAATTAGATTTCAGAGCTAGAAAATTAAAAAAAAGAAAAAAAATCAAGAAAGAATCAAAACCAAAGAACCAGAGTTTCAATACTGAAAGTGCACACTGGGTCCCTTAGCTAATTGATGAAAACAGACCTCATGAGGCACATTGCTGTGAAATGATCCTGCAGACTTTCACAGGGGAAAAGGCTTCATACAAAGGTCCAAGAATCAGAATGACTTTGGTCTTTTAGCAGCAATAAGACAGGAAACTAGAAAACAATGGAGCAATGACAAACATTCTGAGGGAAAATGATTTTCAACCTAGAATTTTACATGCAGCCAACTGAGTGTAAAAACAGAATAAAGACATTATTAGACATACAAGGATGCCCACTCCCTCAATCACACACACCCTTTCTGAGGAAGCTACTAAAAGTTGTATATACTTCAAACAAACAAACAAAATAGGGAGGGTGGGAGATGCAAGAGGGAGGAGATATGGGGATATATGTATAGGTATAGCTGATTCACTTTGATATAAAGCAGAAACTAATACACCATTGTAAAGCAATTATATTCCAATAAAGATGTTAAAACAAACAAACAAACAACAAACAAACAAAAACCATGATGGAGTAAACCAAGAAAGAAGATCAGAGAGACAGGAAACGGGATATAAAAAAAATCTCCAGGACATTTATGAAAGGAAATCCCAAGTGGCAGTGATGCAGCAAGCTACAGGGCAACCCAAGAGATGAACACAAATTAGCAGAGCACAGCTTCCAGGATAGAGCTCTTTAGGAAGAAAAAGTTGAAACAATACCCAAGGTATCCATGTGTATTAAAGTGTAATCATAGCACTGGATCAAAGTGTGGGGTGGAATTAAGTGATAAATAATACAAAGACAACTAAGCAAATGAAACACAGTGTTAGGCAGAAAGGGAAAAGGAATCATACCACAATATATGCTTAGTTCAGCTGAAGACAGCATTAGAGTCCTAATAATGTAAACATGGAGTCATTTAGCCAAAAGTCATATTAAATTGACAAGATAGGGGATGGTTGTAGTGGTAGATAAGTCCTACTTTCCAGGTGGCAGAAATACCTAAAACTGAAAAAAAGAATTGGAAGCAATATACCCAATTTATTTATTAGCAATGCGAAGGTAAATACCCTCATGTGGGAAGTGACAAATTGGCAAAGGGAGGGGGGACAGATTTTTGAATCAAAATCTATATCAGTGTCCCTAAACTATATATGCATGTGCATAACTGATGAGCAAAAGTATAATATTTAAAAAAATCAAACTCTTTGAAAATCATGTAAAATTCCATTACCAAATACCACACACTGCTGTGCTTAAGAGACCAACAAGATGTGAGATTAGACCAAGATCCAGCAGGACAAGGCACCCATGTCCAGTTCACCACTGTCCTAGTGCCCAGGTCAGAATATGTACCCATATATTTGCTGAATGAATAAATGGATGAGAAGAATGTAAAGTTATTTTAGCACAGAGACACATTAAAAAATGTATATAATAGTTGAAGAGAGAGAGATTAATTCTGTTGTAGTAAAAATGACAGGAAAGACTGCACCCAAATAAAGCAGAGTATGCCAAATGCATAATGCAGGCATGAAGGAAGGTGTTCCAATCACAAAGGCAAAGGAGCTTGAAACATGATGTGAGCAGAAAACTGACAAACATCTGAAGTTTAGACCATGTGATATTTGTTACAGAATCAATATTTTCCTCTGTAATTGTTTTACTTAAATACTTAATGAGCACCTCCTATGTATCAGGCACTGTTCTAAGTACCATAGATACAGCAGTGAATGAAAAAAATCTCTGCTGTGATGGGACATACATTATAGCGAGAGGGATATTAAACAAACAAATATCTAGTAACAGATTGGGTTAAGTGCTGTGGAGAAAAAAAAATTGAGGGAGGAGAGGAAGAAAAAGAAAATGGGTGTAAAGAGTGGTGGTTTGCTAATTACTGTATGTTAGGTGTTCAGGGGAAGATCTCCCTGGTTAAGATGACATCTCAATAGGAACTTGAAGAAAATGAAGGAGTGAATTATACACATTATCTTGGGAAGAGAATTCCAGGCAGAAGAAATAATAAGTGATTTTTGCTTGGTGGTGTGTGGGCCATGGTAGGGACTTTGGCACTCATTCTGAAGGAAGCCACCACAAGGTTTTAAGAATATCTGATGTGACTTGCATTTAAAAGGATCACTCTGAGAGCTATGTTGAGAACAGTCAGTAAGAGGGAAGGACAACAGAAGAGAGAAGTGAGGAGGCTAATGTAAGTCACCCAGGTGAAAATATATGGTGGCCTGGACTGTCTGGTGGCGTCGTGAAATAATTCTAATTCCTTGAAAAGCTTTTCTACATTTCTATCAGTCAGTGCTAAGCACTGACTTCATTTTTTCCACAAAGTTATCCCAATATTCTAGAATCGATATTGAAAGTGAGATCCTTCTAGTTTATGAACCACTAGATATAGGATGTCATGTGGAATAGGGAATTTGAAGTACAAAAGTAAACCTAAGACCTATTAAAGTGGATTTTGCCTCAAACTGTCTCCAATATCCCTGTTTACAAAGCATATAGTTCTTTGAATAGTATCATTTATGTGCAAATCATTCTATTGTAGGTTTTTAAAAGATATTCATTAAAAATAACACAAAAAGCATTCTTAACTAGGTAAACAACAGTATTAATATGACACTATACGTCAAAAACCTCCTTTAAAAAAAGTACCCAACTTCTGACTTAGTAATTTCATGTCTAGGACATCCTAAGGTCAACTTCAAAAGACTCATGAGCGGGCCTCCCTGGTGGCACAGTGGTTGAGAGTCCGCCTGCCGATGCAGGGGATACGGGTTCGTGCCCCGGTCCAGGAGGATCCCACATGCCGCGGAGCGGCTGGGCCCGTGAGCCATGGCCGCTGAGCTTGTGCGTCCGGCAACGGGAAAGGCCACGACAGTGGGAGGCCCACATATCGCAAAAAAAAAAAAAAAAAAAAAAAAAGACTCATGAGCAAAGATGTTCATCACAAAGAACTGTCAAGAGTATTTAAAGGTTATAGTGTACTGGCAAATACCACATAACCAGCTGAATTTGATGTAAATTTCTGGTTGATAAAAGTGTTCGAAATATATTAAATGAATTAAAAGGTTACAATTAATAAGTTAGATGCTGATTTTAAAAATAGGGGGTAAGTATGAACGTGGGTATTGAGAGTATGAAAGTCAATGAGGATATAGATAAAACAAAACCGGCCAGGAGTTGACATTACTGAAACTGGATGACAGGTACCTGGAATAGGGGCAGGGTCATACCATTCTCTCTACTTGTGTAAATGGTTAAAAGAAAAAGTAAAAAAAAGTTCACTAAAATGTTAACTGGCAATTTGGGTATAGAACTGCAGATGTTTTCTTCTTTTAGCACAACTAAGTCCAAGTTCTCATTTATCCCCAGTCACTTCAAAAGACTGAGACAAGTTTCACTTACCACCCAACAGGCATTTCCAAGATCAGCAATCTTCACTTGGAGCTTTTCTGCATTTTTTGGCTCAAGGGGATTAACAAGAAAATTTCCAGCAGTGGATTTTCCTATAGACAACAGGTATCATCAATAAGACTGTTCAATGAACACAGAAATAACCAAAGGTTAATGAAACTCTACGAAGTAATTCACCCAGGTCCCCAACTGGCAACCTACAATAAATTTTCTAAAATAAACCAAGTAAAGCAACACCTTGACTTCCCAGAATTAAAACCTCTGCCTTCACAGCAACAAGTAAAATGCTGTATACTCACTGTTTAACCAATAAAAATCAAACTGAGCTACACATTTACACATTGAAGGTAACTTGGACACCTGCTGTAAAGCTATATTTATAACAACAATGGTGCTTTTAGTTTAGAAATTCATGAAAAATTTTTTTCTATGTCTTGAATTTAAAAAAATTGTATAGCTGATTTACAACATATTAGTTTCAGGTATAAAACATAGCAACTCAGAATTTTTATAGATTATACTCCATTTAAAGTCACCACAAAGTAACGCTATATTTCCCTGTGCTGTACAATATAACCCTGTAGCCTATCTATTTTATTATATATGGTAGCTTGTTCCTCTCAATGCCCTACTCCCACCCCTCCTTTCCCTTCCTCCCTCTCCACACTGGTAACCACCTATCATTCTTTATACCTGTGAGTCTGTTTCTGTTTTGCTGAATTCATCTGTTTTATTTTTTAGGTTCCACAGATAAGTGATAACATACATTATTTGTCTTTGTCTGTCTGACTTATTAGAAATTCATGAACATGTTATGCAGGGAAGGAGTACTGGGGAAGTACCTTTGTTGTCTAGTGGTCCATTATGTTCTTGCTCTTGCTCATCTTCACAGGGTATCTCTGCTCGAATGCTTTCTTGAAGTTGGCTAATGTCCTGTTCACTGAATGACCGGTCTACATTTGATGAAGACTGGCACATCATGGTATCTGACACCTCAGAGGTTACAGGTGTACAGGAGTCTGTTTCTTGAGATGTGCTGCTGTCTCCATTTTGGGAACTTAGAAAACTAGGTTCCTGCTTCAAATTTTGGACATCACAGCCATTAGCATTATGTAGATCCTCTTTAAGCCTCAATGTTTCTTTATTATTGTTCTCAGTATAATTAACGACTTCAATTACTCCATTGCAATTTATTTCTGCTGCACCACCCTCTACACCATGTTCCGTAAGTGTTTGATCCTGGTGAATGGTACTTGACTCTTCTAAGGAACAAAGACAAAAAGGATGTACGTGTATGCATATGCATGAAAGAACAAAAAAAATCTCTCCACAAGATTAAAACGTTTTCTAGAACTTATACAGGGTGACATAAAAACATGACTGCACATCTAAAATCTATTTATGAAAGGACAAAGATCTTCTTATTCTTACCCAATTGCTAAATGAGGTCTACGTTGCATTTCCTGAGAAAAGTTAGAAATTACATTTGAATATTACCTACCTAACATTTATGACAAATTCTGTATTCTTACTGTATAACGACACCCCCAGAGATGTTGTATATGCATGAAACCACTACATTATAAAACAATGATAAATTAATGTTAAAGTTTGCTATAAAGTAATTTTTGTGATGCTCTATTTATACCAAGTTTTTCTTGGGTCATTTTATTAGGTGGGTTCTCTTTCAAGGGTCTTTCAACAGGACTCTCTGATTCTTCTTGCTTGTTTGGTCTTTTTTGCCCAGGGCCCGACTCTTTCTCCATTTCCTCAATTTCCTGCATTCGCTTCTCTAGTAATTCTGCCTGGCGCTTCTGCTTCTTCTTCAATTTCTTCTTCTTATTCTTTGACATTTTGTCAGCCTGGGCGGAGATTACAAACAGATAAAGCCTTCAGGTGGCTAATCCATTATCCCCAGTTGGAGATAACTGTTAATTTTAATTACTTCCTAATTAAATTCCACTCTTGTCCTAACATAGCACTTAAGCTTTTCATTAATTTAAAAAATGCAGATACTCTGAAGAAACCAAATTAAAACAAAATTAACAACAAATCTTGGTCCTCTGAACAGTCTGTGGGGCTGGTCCACTCTCATGCTCAAATTTATGGAAACCTCACCAGTACAAACTTGCTGAAGATGCACAGGAATTTATTGGAGAAAATTATAGAAGTGCAGGAATATTTTTTTTTTCTGGTTTCCAAACTCTAAATAAACTGTGATCCATAACAGAAGAATCCCTGCCCATTGCCCATAGATCAGAATTAAATATAGAAACACCTTATACTTACTGGTTTAGGCTGGGGTGCAGTACTGACTGAAAAGAAAAGAAAACCAAGTAAGAAACCTTGCATTCAGCAGGCAATATAAACTAAGACACCCTACCAGAATGAAAAGTCTTTCTTGTACAGTTTATATTGTAGAGAGAACTACTGTTTTTAAGCAATTTTGGTAGAAGCAACATTATTTTTTTTAAAAGAACAAACAATGCATACAAAAGTCAACAAACTTAAAATAAATTTAAATAAATTCTTCTCCAGATAGCATCAATATATGCAAAGAACCAAGTCCTCCTTTCTGATTTACATCATTAATGCTGCTAAAAACTCATTCCCATGTACTGCTTAAAACAGAAAAGGATAGGCAACAACCCTCTCATCCCCACCCAGGACTAATTCTTCCCTGTGACACTTGTCAGTTTTAAAAGGAGAGTGGCATCAAAAGCTACAGTAATTTATTACATAGAATGTTATGGCTATTAGTTTAGCTTAGGTGGGAGGTAGAATCTTCAGTTTTCCTTAAAAAAAAAAAAAAAAAATTTGTTTTTTTAAATTGTGGTAAGAAACTTGTAATATACAATTTCCCTCTTAACCATCCTTAAGCATACAGTTCAGCAGTGTTAATTTCACATAGTGTAACATTTCTAGAACTTTTTCATTGTGCAAAAATGAAACTCTATGCCCACTGAACAACTGCCCCTTGCCCCCTTTGTAGGTCTTCTTTTTCAAAGGAAGTCTCTGGATAATTGATATTTCAACTTGAGGATCAAGAGAGTTCCTCAAATATAATTAAACTACTAAAATTAAAATCTGTACCACAAATGGAAAAAAATCATCATAATCATAGTAGCCACCATTTATTTAACGCATAATACTGTGTGGCATACTACTAACTGCTTTAACATGAAATTTAATCCGAGTAACTCCTGCATGAGAAAAAAGAAGTCAAGAAATGTGCCCAAGGTCATTCAATGAATGAAGCAAGGAGTCAAAATAGGTATGTCCACTCCAGTGCTTAAACCCAAGCTCTTACTAGCAATGCTATCTTGCCCCTGCACAGGGGTCACTGATTCACATAGGTGAGCATGTATGAACATCAAAAAAGACCATCAAATCACAAGAGAAAACATTTTAACAACAACATGAATCAGCTTTTATAATACACAACATATTTGGACCTAAAAGGCACAGTCTTCTTCCCCTATGGGAATAATACTGAGTATAAAAAGTCTTTTGAAGGCTGGAACTATTTCTTATGTAAGTACCTATTGTATCTTACTGTTAAATGAATTAGTGGTGCTTTACTTTTACTTAACTGTCAGGTAATAGAATAAAAACAAGAACTTCTCTTAACTTCTAATGAAAGTGAGGTCCCCAAAGAAAATATACCTGCAGATCCAGAAGGTGGAGGAGCTCCAGATCGCTGCCATTCTGTTGCTTCTGCAGCCAGCCTCCGGATGTACTGTTCATTCACTGACAACAAGATGTTTTCTGGTTTAATGTCAGTGTGGATGATACGGCACTTGGTATGTAAATAATCCAGACCCTGTAACACCTGAATGGGAATAGAGCAGTAGACTTGCAAACACAAAATACAAGTCTTTCTGGAGAAGGAAAAAAATCACAATACAACATTTTGAAAAAAGAAAAAATAAAAATGATACGGTAGTTTTCTACAGAGAAGAAAGCATTTTTTTTAAAGCACAACAAACTTCCCCAGAAAGATTAATTGTAAACTATGAACAAAGGCCAGAGTTTATTTACAATAAAAAGTTCTTCCAAGTTTTACAAAGCTAATTCTATTTGGAGATATTTATTGATACATTACAGAGACGAAGAATAAACAGTTGACATTGTCCTTTAACTACTGAAATGTAGGTCATGAAAGAGATTCAGGTATCTTTAAACGCAAATTTCCTTGTTGATGAAGAACTGAGGTCTCTTGCTTCCCAGTTTGGAGCTCTGTCCAACAAAACACATTATCTAAACAAACTGTTTGCCCTCTGAAGTATTACCACTTTCCTGATGACAAACTTCTTCACTATATATTGAAAGCTGTTTAGAATATGAGAAAATGCTCATGAATAATGTTATATAAAGAGACGGTAATAATTTGACAATTTTCTATTAATATATAATCAATTTTTGCAACCAGAACTTCTGGATAAGGGCTCCAAATTTCTAAAATCAGGCATTACACTCAGCTCCCCATCTAATAATTATTACAGAAGATGAACCTGGGGGAAAATGATTACACTAAAACATTTAAAAACAGAATAAACACAATAAATAGGGGCTGAATAATTTCAGCAATTAAAAAAACCTAATTTTAAAAATAAAAATTCTATTGGAAATAGGAAACTCCTGACACTTTAAGAATCTAAAAAAATTACCACATACAAACTATTATGTATAAAATAAATAAGCTCCAAGGATATACTGCACAAGGAATATAGCCAATATTTTATAATAACTATAAATGGAGTATATAACCTTTAAAAAAAACCCACCACATAGAAAATATTACGATACATACTTGCTGAATAATTTTTTTGACACAAGGCAAAGGAAGCCCTTGATAATTGGACTTGATGATCCACTTGAGCAGATGATGCCCCAAAACTTCAAACACCATGCAGATATCTAGGAGTTTGTTAAGGAGGAAAGGGGAGACAGAAGAGAAGAAAGCGGGCAAGACAAGCTGTGTTCCACCTCAATGAAATTATTATTGTATTCTTTCAGTATAAAGAGTTATAGAGCTTGACTTAAAAAGAAAATCTAGCTGTCAATATTCTGACATTCTAAAGATTAATTAATGCTTTAGTCACAGAAAATAACCAAAATATGGAAAACTCTGGGGTGCTGGTTTATTAATAAAACTATGCACATTAAAACACTCAGTGAAAAAATAAAAGTGAAACATATACATAAAGTTAGTGAAAGCACTAGGCTTAAGGTGTTGATTAGTCTCTTCCCTGATGTCGAAACTAACGTCCAGGGTAACAACACCTACACTCTCATAGTATCAAAACAAGGAAAAATAAATTTGGCTTTAGCCAAAGAAGACAATGTACCAAAACTAGCTAAAAAATGTAAATGTCAACATTTAAAGAAAATAGGAAACTGACTTGCTTTATGCTCTTTACTTTACAAAACTAATCATGATTCTACTGCCACCATGTGTTCTCTTATGTATGAACACCCTAATCACACCTCGTAACAGGAATACTCTTTGGGCCTAGTAGTGCCAGGGCTAGGGCACTGCAGGGATTTTAGTCAGAAGATGTTAGTATTTTCGACCTCTAGAAGCTTCTACATAAATTGGAAAGTCAAGACATAATATGTAATAATGATCTAGTGCTCAGACTTTTGTTTTTTTGTTTTTGTTTTTGTTTTTGTTTTGCGGTATGCGGGCCTCTCACTGCTGTGGCCTCTGTTGCGGAGCACAGGTTCCAGACGCGCAGGCTCAGTGGCCATGGCTCACGGGCCCAGCCGCTCTGCGGCATGTGGGATCTTCCCGGACCGGGGCATGAACCCATGTCCCCTGCATCGGCAGGCAGACTCTCAACCACTGCGCCACCAGGGAAGCCCCAGACTTTTGTTTTAAATAAGATTCTCCGCTAAATGAAAACCTGTACTCCTTAAAGAAATGGCCAAATCCAGGGAAAACCTGGAATACCTTGCTGTGCCAACAGTGAGGGAACACGTCAGGAGGAAACAGCAATCAGCTTGAAGAAGACACTGGCTGGTTAAGAATCCGCCTGCCAATGCAGGGGACATGGGTTTGAGCCCTGGTCCAGAAAGATCCCACATGCCACAGAGCATCTGGGCCCGGGCACCACAACTACTAAGCCAGTGTTCCTAGAGCCCGTGCTCCACAACAAGAGAAGCCACCGCACCTCAACGAAGAGTAGCCCCCGCTGGCGACAACTAGAGAAAGCCTGTGCACAGCAACGAAGACCCAACGCAACCAATAAATAAATAAATAAAATAAATCTATTTTTTAAAAAAAGAAGCCACTGGCCAAAGTTGACATTTTAAAGAGTGAAGTTATGAATTACCTTATAAATTAAAAACAGAATGAATCCAAATGGGATACTAAAATAAGTGTGTGTTCGGGGGAGGAAAATGTCCTCTTCAGAGAAAAAGTCAACTAATAAATATATAAAGTATGACAGAAATTTAAAAATTACCATTTTATCATCATTATAGTAATAACTGAACTGATTCAGATAAGAATCAATGAATACTAAAACTACTAAGTGAAGACTGCTAGGGGAAAAAGAATCCTCACAGTGTCACATTATCACCCCATAGGTTGCTTATTAATTATAAAAGGAAAAAGATACTTTTAAACAGGGAAATCAAGCAGACACTGCCTTAACCATGTAATCAAACATCATCACCAATGATAAGCACAAATTCACGTTATGTGCCCTCTGATGTAATACAGAGAAAAATAAAACATCATCCATGTAGTATACTTGACAAAAATGATTAATGAACTTAATCATGAGGAAATAATCAGACAAATCCAAATTAAGGAACAATACAACTTGGCCTGGATTCTCTGGCCGGTGGGGGGGTGGGGTGGGGTGGGTGAGTGAATGCCATGAAAGGAACCGTTCTTAATTAAAGAAGATTAAAAACGGGACATGACTACCTCAGAAAATACAAATCAAAATTACAGGATGATATTATTTCAAACTCAACAGAATAAAATAAAAAGACTAACATGACCAAATGTAGATTAGCATATGGAGCAATTAGAACTCCCATATTATGCTAACAGAAGTATAAAATGGTACAACTACTTTGGAAAACTGGTTGGTAATTCCTTAGAGTTAAACATACATCTAGGAACTTCTGCTGCAGTCAAGATGGAGTAACAGGGACTGGCTTAACCCTCTTGCTTTAAGCGACAACAACAAAATCAGACAAAATACATAAAACAACAGATTTAAAGACCCTGGACAAAGAATATCTCCCTGAGAGATCACTGTCTTCTTACTGTCTTGAGACTCTCCAAGCAAACCCCTTGAGTTAAAGAGACGGAGCTGAGTCCTGGGAGACCAAGGCAGCAGCTATGGTTCACAGAACAATACTAGCAAGGAGAGAGCTGCAGAGAAAGAGAACCCTGGAGATCTAAAAAGGGAGTCCCCTCAAGTATTCAGTAGAGTAGTAATCAGCGTTGGTATATGAGGAAAATACTAGAGGGGAAAAAAATCATCTGAAAGGATTAGAGGGAATAGTGCCCAGCATTCTCACAGGGCTCCAACAGTATCTGCTCTCATCAAAAGGACTAGAAAAATTCAGTTATAGTCATAGGCCAGAAATAAATCCACACATATATGGTCAATTAATTTATAACAAAGGAGCCAAGAACTTACAATGCAGGCAGTAATTTCAATAAATCATGGGGGTACATGACTCTTTTTGAATTATGGTTTTCTCAGGGTATATGCCCAGTTGTGGGACTGCTGGGTCATATGGTAGTTCTATTTGTAGTTTTTTAAGGAACCTCCATACTGTTCTCCATAGTGGCTGTACCAATTCACATTCCCACCAGCAGTACAAGAGTGTTCCCTTTTCTCCACACCCTCTCCAGCATTTATTGTTTCTAGATTTTTTGATGATGGCCATTCTGACTGGTGTGAGATGATATCTCATTCTAGTTTTGATTTGCATTTCTCTAATGATTAATGATGTTGAGCATTCTTTCATGTGTTTGTTGGCAGTCTGTATATCTTCTTTGGAGAAATGTCTATTTAGGGCTTCTGCCCATTTTTGGATTGGGCTGTGAAAACCATAATTCAAAAAGAGTCATGTACCAAAATGTTCATTGCAGCTCTATTTACAATAGCCCAGAGATGGAAACAACCTAAGTGTCCATCATCGGATGAATGGATAAAGAAGATGTGGCACATATATACAATGGAATATTACTCAGCCATAAAAAGAAAAGAAATTGAGCTACTTGTAATGAGGTGGATGGACATAGAGTCTGTCATACAGAGTGAAGTAAGTCAGAAAGAGAAAGACAAATACCGTATGCTAACACATATATATGGAATTTAAGAAAAAAAAATGTCATGAAGAACCTAGGGGTAAAACAGGAATAAAGACACAGACCTACTAGAGAATGGACCTGAGTACGTGGGGAGGGGGAAGGGTAAGCTGTGACAAAGCGAGAGAGTGGCATGGACATATATACACTACCAAACGTAAAATAGATAGCTAGTGGGAAGCAGCCACATAGCACAGGGAGATCAGCTCGGTGCTTTGTGACCACCTAGAGGGGTGGGATAGGGAGGGTGGGAGGGAGGGAGACGCAAGAGGGAAGAGATATGGGAACATATGTATATGTATAACCGATTCACTTTGTTATAAAGCAGAAACTAACACACCATTGTAAAGCAATTATACTCCAATAAAGATATAAATAAAAATAATAATAAATCATGGGGGGAAAACTGAACAGCTACATGCAAAAGAATGAAACTGGACCATTATCTTACACTAGACCCCAAAATCAACTCAAAGTGGATTAAAGACTTGAACATAAGACCTGACACCATAAAACTCCTAGAAGAAAACACAGGTTGTAAGCTCCTTGACATTGGTCTTGGCAATGATATTTTGGATCTGACACCAAAAACAAAGTCAACAAAAGCAAAAATGAAGAAGTGGACTACATCAAACTAAAAATCTTCTGCAGAGCAAAGGAAACAAAATGAAAATGAAAAGGCAACCTATGGAATAGGAAAAAATATTTGCAAATCAAAAATCTGATAAGGGGTTAATATCAAAAATATATAAAGAACTCATATAACTCAATAGGGGGAAAAAAACAAATCTGATTAAAAAATGAACCAAGAATCTGAACACATATTTTTCCAGACAAGACATACAGATGGCCAACAGGTACATGAAAAAGTGTTCAACATCACTAATCACCAGGGAAATGCAAATCAAAACCACAATGAGATACCACCTCACAGCTGTTAGAATGGTTATTATAAAAAAGACAAGCGATAACAAGTGTTGGTGAGGATGTGGAGAAAAAGGAGCCCTTGTGCACTGTTGGTGGGAATGTAAACTGGTACAGCCACTATGGAAAACAGTACGGAGGTTCCTCAAAAAAACTAAAAAGAGAACTATCATACATTCCAGCAATTCCACTTTTGGGTATTTATCTGAAGAAAACAAAATCACTAACTTAAAAAGATGTGCACCCCCATGTTCACTGCAGCATTATTTACAACAGCCAAGACATGGAAGCAACCCTAGTGTCCACTGATGGATGAATGGATAAAGAAAATATGGTCTACATACACAATGGAATATTATTTAGCCATATGAAGAAGGAAATCTTGCCATTTGTGATAACATGGATGGACCTTGAGGGTGTTATGCTAAGTGAAATAAAACAGAGAAAGACAAATACTGTATGATCTCACTTATATGTGGAATCTAAAAACAAAACAAAACAACAAACTCATAGATACAGAAAACAGACTAGTGGTTGCCAAAGGTGGGGAGTGGGGGAAATGGGTGACGGTGGTCAGAAGGTACAAACTTCCAGTTATAAGATGAATAAGTCTGGGACTTCTCTCGGGGCACAGTGGTTAAGAATCCACCTGCCAATGCAGGGGACACGGGTTCGAGCCCTGATCCAGGAAGATCCCACATGTTGCGGAGCAACTAAGCCCGTGCGCCACAACTACTGAGCCTGTGCTCTGGAGCCCGTGAGCCACACACAACTACTGAAGCCCGTGCGCCTAAAGCCCGTGCTCCCCAATAAGAGAAGCCACCGCAAGGAGAAGCCCGCGCACCACAACGAAGAGTGGCCCCACCTCGCCACAACTAGAGAAAGCCCGCGCGTAGCAACAAAGACCCAACACAGCCAAAAATAAATAAATAAATGAATTTATTTAAAAAAAAAAAAAAAGATGAGTAACTCCTGGGTGTGTAATGTACAGCATGGTGACTATTGTTAATAATACTATACTGTGTATTTGAGAGTTGCTAAGACAGTAAATCTTAAAGCTCTCATCACAAGAAAAAAACTGTATGTGTGGTGATGGATGTTAACTAAACTTACTATGGTAATCATTTTGCAATGTACACAGCTATCAAATCATTACGTTGTACACCCAAAACTAATACAATGTTATATGTCAATTATATCTCAATTAAGAAAAAAAAACTAGAAAAATTCATAGTCATGGGGCATTGGGTAGATTGTTCAGAAGACCTTGCCTCAGTAGAAGGAATGATTAGCCCTAGACTGAACACTGCTCTGGGGCCATCTAACAAATGATAAAAGTAAAATCTGAAAAGGGTCCAACTGCTTCCAAGTAACAACTGCATCCCAGAACAAAGATCAAGATTTATAGCTATACAACATATCCAGCAGCCAACAAGGTAAAACTCACAGTGTCTCAATCAAAGACTACCAGGCAACAAAGGTGAAGGAAAATGTATCTGAAAATTAGATACAGTAACAAAGAAATCATTTGAAATTGACCCAGAACTGACCCAGATGTCAGAATTAGCAGACAAGGAAATTAAACAGTTATAGCAGTATTCCATACATTGAAAAGAGATACAGAAGATATATATAGAAAAAAAGAGATGCAAAACTGATGTGGTGTATATATATTAATGGAATGTGACTCAGCCATAAAAAAGAATGAAACCTCGCCATTTGTGACATGGATGGTGAGATGAGTGAGACAGAGAAAGACAAAACTGTACGATTTCACTTAATAATGTGGAATATAAAAGACAAAACAAATGAACAAACATAACAGAAAGATACAGAGAACAAACAGGTGTTGCCAGAGGGGAGGAAGGTGGAAGGAGGAAAGAAATAGGTGAGAGAGATTAAGTAGTACAAAACTCCAGTTGCAAAATAAGTGAGTCATGGGTGTGAAATGTACAGTGTGGGGAACATAACATAAACTAAGCAGACTTATCACAGTGATCATTTTGAAATGTATAGAAATATCAAATCACCACATCGTGCACCAGAACTAACATAGTGTTATAGGTCAATTATACTTCAAAAATAAACAAACAAACTCAAAAGAAAAAGATCAAATCTGTGGTTACCAGAGGTGGTGGTTAGCGGAGGGGAAAGTGGATGAAGGCAGTCAAAAGGTATAAATTTCCAGTTATAAGTACTAGGGATATAATGTACAATACAATAAATATAATTAACAATGCTATACGTTATATATGTAAGTTATTGGGAGTAAAGTCTAAGAGTTCTCACCACAAAGAAAAATATATTTTTTTCTATTTAATTTTGTTATTTTATGAGATGAATTATTGTGTGATAATCATTTAATGATGTATGTAAGTCAAATCATTACGCTGTATTCCTTATACTTATACACTGCTGTATGTCAATTATACCTCAATAAGACTGGAAGAAAAAAAAAGAGACCCAAATTGAACTTCTGAGATGAAAAGCAGAAAAATACCCTGGATGGGATAAATGGCAGATTAAGCACTGCAGAATGAGATTAGTGAACTCGAAGGTATCGCAATAGAAACTATCCAAAATCAAATATACAAAGAAAAAATAATACAAACGAACAAATAAACCCACCCATCCACAAAAGTAAGCTGCAGGGGCAACTTCAAATGACCCAAAAAAAGGAAGGGGGGGGAAGGGAATGAAGGTATTTGCTCTTTGCAATGGATCAAGAAATCATAAAAGTGATGGCAATAATTAACCCAGTAGCAAAGTGTATACCTAGTGCCTAGATTGTGTTCCCCATTTCCCACTCATAGGAATTAGGGCTTTTTAAAGAAATGGCTGACCCCAGGTTTGGGACAGGAAATGCACAAAATGAGCCTGGAACATTCTGATGTGCCAAATCATAAAGGAACTGTCAAAAACCTTGTGGCTCCTGACTGAAATTAAGAATAAAAAAACTAAAAGAAAAAAAAAGTATGAGACATTTGGAGAGACTGAAACACTGACTAGAAAAAAGGACTTAAGAAACTGATCCCAATTTTTTAGGAATAATAACTGTGTTGGGGTTATATTTTAGGTCTTTGTCTTTTGGAGATACATTCTAAAATAATTACAGTGAAAAAATATCTTTAAGATTGGTCACAAAATTATCAGGAGATACAGACAAAACAAGACTGATTATGAGCTGATAACTTCTGAAATGGGTAATGGATCTATGAGGATTCATCAAACTATTCTACTTCTGTATATATGAAATATATCAAAATAAGGTATTTTAGAATGCAGATTGATTAAACAAACAAACCAGAACACAGAATTGTTTAAGTTATTTTCATGTTCCTAGCTTTAATATTAACTTTATTTGTTGAGATTACAATCTGACGTTATTTTAATTTGTAAGCAGTGATATAAAAATGACCAAACATTCAGTAGCTTAGAAAACAAGAAGAGGGCTTCCCTGGTGGCACAGTGGTTGAGAGTCCGCCTGCCGACACAGGGGACATGGGCTCGTGCCCCGGTCCGGGAGGATCCCACATGCCGCGGAGCAGCTGGGCCCGTGAGCCATGGCCGTTGAGCCTGCACGTCGGAGCCTGTGCTCTGCAACGGGAGAGGCCACAACAGTGAGAGGCCCGCATACCGCAAAAAAAACAAAAAAGAAACAAGAAAAAAAGCCTTCTTGCTTAGGGTCAAATAAAGGTACTCAGCATTACTGAGGAGACTACTTAGAATATTTCTACAGTTTTACTATAATATTACCAAATTAATAGGAAAATGTGGCACAGTGAGAAACATTACAAGATCAAGAAATAGGGAAACAGAACCTAACGGCCATCATGACATCCTGCATGGTTTTATTTCATGGTTAGCCTTCCTCTTAATTCTTTGAAAACATGCATACCACATACACACACAGAGTAAGCCATCTATGAAATGACCACAACAGACATAAAATGATGATTCATATGGAATGCTTCTTGTACCAGTTTCCTTAGAGATTTGGGGAAGGGGGGGATTTGAGTTATATTTCTCCAAGGAACTAAGTAACTGAAAACTAACTTCAGAACGATAGATAAAATCTTTATGTTATCACCTGTTCTCTCTCCTTTCTCATCCTCTCTCCTTGCTTCTCTGTTCAAATCTCTAACCATATAGTCCACATGATTAGAGATGGGCCCTATGTAGCCCACCTCCTTAAAAAAAGATCATCACTGGCAATTAAAAATGTGTGCTAAGAGAAGCTAAACATGCAGGGAAAGTAAAATGATATATGCAATGTCTTTCCTTATACATTTTAAAATAGTTTATAAACAGGTTTCAGACTCTCCAATCCAAGTGAGATTCTTCTTCATCCTTCATTCTGAAAAATGTGATAGGCCTTTACAAGTGTAGCTGTTGCAACAACCTTTCAATTACTTCCCGTGCATGTCACTCTGATATTAACCTGTGGGGAAAAGAATAGCTAACATTCCTTCCAACTTTAAAATTCTAAAATTCCGGATCAAAACATAAAACAAGTCAGTTTTTCCATTATGACAGAATGTGAACAATTACACCTGTTTAGATTTTAAGCATACATGTACAGCCTCTTAAATACTGAGATAAAATGCATTAAATTCTTGTTTACCCAGTATTTCTTTCTTTCTTTTAAATTTTAATTAATTTATTTATTTATTTTTGGCTGCACTGGGTCTTCATTGCTGCGCGTGGGCTTTCTCTAGTTGCAGTGAGGTGGGGCTACTCTTCGTTGAGGTGCAGGGGCTTCTCACTGTGGTGGCTTTTCTTTTGTGGAGCACGGGCCCTAGAGCGCATGGGCTTCAGCAGTTGCAGCTCGCAGGCTGTAGAGCATGGGCTCAGTAGTTGTGGCGCACAGGCTTAGCTGCTCTGCGGATCTTCCTGGACCAGGGATTGAACCCATGTCCCCTACATTGGCAGGCAGATTCTTAACCAATGTACCACCAGGGAAGTCCTTTACCCAGTATTTCTCATTAACGCCATTAAAATTTCTGCGCTAATTGATAAAAATCATAGAAACTACTTACTAGTACAAGGTTCTTTTCTTAAAAAGTTTCTTTTGGGTTTGGTTTTAATTTGCCTGAAAAAAGGAAAAAAGTGTAAAGCCAATAGCCTAAAAAATCACAACATACGAAGAGAGACCTGATTCATATCTGTGTTCAAAAGTTGACAATAAAATAAAGTAATTTGATTATAGTTTGTTTTGAGAGAAGAGACCAATGCTACCTGTACAAATCTTGTTCCTTTCTTTGGGATAAAGTTATTTCATGATTTGTTTTCAAATAGGTTTTAAAAAGGATACGTGTTCCATTAACTCCTGATATTTTAAAGTCATCTAGTAGTTGAACAACCATTTCTCTATTTGGATCATTAGGATCTGAATTGCGAACCTATAATAGGGAAGAAACAATGCTTAGCAAAAGGGAAACCATAGAAATAAACCAAATGGTGGGGGGGGAGGGGATACCTGCAGCAAATATAACAAAGGATTACTCCAAGAAAGAGCTCATACAAATCTATGAGACACACATAAAATTTTAATAGCTCAAAGAACTTAATATAAGCAGTTCACAAAAGAAAACACAATCAACAAAGAATACTGTTTAATTATACCATTTTGCTACTCCCAAATCAACTGCTAGTTACCAGGCCAGGAGGAATTCAGGAGCTTTTGCAGGATGCAATCAACCATAGCACTAACCATACTGTTTATTCAGCCTTCATTTTTTTTCATAGAGAAACTTTCTGAGGGAAGGAAGCAGTACACTGATTTACTTTGGGGTGTGAGCTCCTTATCTTATCACAGACTGGCACTTTGAAAAGTACTTCCTTGGAGCTCTCCTGGTCTAGCTTCCTCACTTTATGAATGAAAAACCTAAGGCTCAGAAGAAATAAAAAGATGAGTTGAAGGATATATTTGGATAGAGCTGGCCCTAAAACTCATGTTTTCTAACTCTGAGTTTAAGCTCCTTCTACTACACTGACATTTACTAATTTGTAACAAAACTGAAAATAAATTTTTGATAATATTTACCTAAGTTTCCAGGTAATAAAGGGAATTAGTAAATATAGTGCTTATTTTTATATATTTGTATAAGATTTTAAAACAAAATAGATATTATATATTTATTCACACAACTTTTCTTTTAACCATAGCAGGAAAGAAAAACATTCTTTGTGCTACCTGGCACATAAAACATACTCAATAAACATTTTTTTATTTGCAACGTTTTTTTCCATTGTATATGTAGGGAGAATTCCCATCACAGCATATTCCACCAGTTCCCTGCCACATACACAGGATGTGTAAATACTGTCTTCCTCTACCTCTTTAAGGATACTAGAACTTTACAGTAAAAATGAGCCATGCCAAAGAGTATACACTTGGTATATCTTAACTGAATAAAACTTTATTTATTTATAATGCTTTGCAGCTCACACATACAATCTAATACTTACTGATTTCAGCAACCGGATTTCATCAAGTGCTGTTTCGGTATAATGTTCAGCACTTTTAACTACTTTCATTGCCACAAACTTCTTCCCCCTAAGAAACAAACAGGCAATTAAGACTAAATGCTCTACCTTTATGTTAGGAAGCTGAGATTTAACTATAACTGGGAGACAGCAACAGAAGCACAAATATTGATTTCATATTTCCCTGTACTCAAACACGAACTACTACTATGGGATCACCTGTACCTCTTAATAGCTCTAACTGGCCAAACTTAACTTACGAGAAGAAGAAAATCTGTTCCTGGGTAATGTCAGTCACCAAACATTTCCTCTAAGTTAAAATCTACTTTCTGAATGCTCCGTGAATCCAAGTAAAACCATGAAGTGGGGATAAATAAGGGGGAAAGCTCCACCGAATCAGAAGTATTCTGTATATCTGTATAGCAAAACCTAAAACGTTAAAAGCTATAATACTTTCCTCTAAGAAGCCAGAAGAAATACTTGGGTGAAAAACTGATAAAAAATTAAGCACATAGATAGCAACTGCTGTCTCACCAAAGACAGATGGTACACTTTTAGGTAAACATCCAATGTTAATTGCCTGTGATTTTTATGTAGAGAAGTTTTACACTGTATGGCTGAACAAATCTGTTATCAAGACAAAATACAAAAAAATAAGGAATTTCACAAAGATTGGTCTAGGGCATCATCTAAAAATTTAGCTCTACTAATGAGAAAACCTATGAACTTACATACTACACTTTCTTTGGGTATTTGTAATGTTTTGAATTTGGTAGTTTCAAGCGCCTTACTGATACTAATTTAATCAATCTTGTGTCTCCTCTAAGCTGACTCTTTATCCGAGGAAAGTCATTTGCCCAAGAACATAAAGATTCTCAGTAATAAGATTCTTATAAAGAAATCAGTCTAGAGCTTAGACTAAAAGTGGAAAATCAGACACAAACATTTAGGAATCACCTAATTCTCTTGCAGGATCACTAAAACTTACTGAATATCCCATGATAACCACACTGTTGAAAAGTGTCCCCAGCCCAACTTTCGGATCACATGATATCTCCCATTGAATAGATCTCCGATTTTCACAAGATGATAACCTCCTGGAAGAAACAACAGGAGGCAAATAGTCACTTAAGTAGTAGGAAGAGGTATTTCACAACACGTTTTTCAACATCTATACACCTTTTAGCAAATAAAAATGGTTTCTTCTAACACAACCAACTCAATAAAAGAAAATGTTAAGTCAAGTCAGCAACACAGTATTATTGAGCTCATGTTACAAAAAATATCTTAAAGAATAAGAGTAATGATTTAGAGTGAGCAAGTGATGCTTTGTGGAACAACCAATAATTACTTAAAAAAATAAGTCATCCTCAAACAAAAATAAGGTTATGTTTCACAACATTCTTGCCCCTCAGTAATCCAAGATTTATCTAAACATATAAATCTATTTTGAGACTAGTTGTAGTCTCAGGATGTTTTTTAGGAGAGAGATGAATGAATTCCATTTATTTAACTTTAAAAAGAGAAATTGCTTTTCTAAAACATAAAAACCAGGAAGGCCTGAAAAGGCTGCCAACAGTGGCAGGAAGCAAGGGATTTAAACATGCATCTCTGCCTACTGAGAAGAACCAGGTTCTCCTCAATGGTTAAGAGATATTCTGTTATAAAATCCTACCCAAGAATCCTGCAAAGTTTCGTAAAAGAAACAGAAAAGATAACAGGCAAACTTATGACACAGTTTAAGTATATATAATTCCAGTTTAATGTATCTTAGCAATCATCACTTTGAGAAAAGAGTAGTGAAAGGTGTTTTTCAAAAGTCTACATACCAAATCTTACCACTGGTTACTTCTGGGTGACAGCATTACAGATGGCTTTTGTTTTCTTTTTGTTTAACATATTTCTGAAATTTTCTAAGGTAAATATGCACTACCTTTTTTAAGGAGTAGAAATAAACTTAATTTAAACTAAGCTTTAATTAAGTCAAAGTAAAAGGAAATACTAATTCCTATACTTAGAGAAAAGGATGCAATAAACAGAAAGCATCAATACTGTTTATGCTGATAGACCAAATATTCACATGAAAAACTGCACATACATGGATCACAGCTTACTTAGTATCTCCTCACAGAAAATCTTACCTTTACAATAATCATTGGGATCTTCCTGCTCATCATCATCAGATCCCAGAATCTCCTCTTCCTGCTCTGGGAGATCACTCTCAGAGTGGGGAGCAGAGCCTCGGTGCTGAGTTTCAGATCTAAGAAATAATACAAACATGTTCATTCCGTATGGACAGAAGAAAACAGGACCAATTAATAGATACTACAAACAGAATGTTATGTAGTGGCAGCCTAAGAAAACATTACCTACCACTTTACCTCATGTTAGGAAAATATTCGTTTTTAAAAAGTCAGTACATGATTAAATAAAATCTGGAAAATATATAAAAGTACAAAGGGAAAAAATTACTTGAATCTCAATATCCAAACAAAATTGCTGATAAAACTACTAGACCTTCTTCCAGTTATTTGCTGTATTTTTATAAAAATATATATCGGTAATCACATGCTTTATAAACAAATTTGTATCCGGCTTTGCCTATTATACTGTAAACTTTCCCCCTCATACCTATGCAATCTATTAAGTCTTACATATTTCCCTTAGAAGTACCACTATTTACTCTGGTACATTCTGCTCAGCTGGACATTTGTTTCTAACTTTTCACTACTAAAAAATAAAGCTGTTGAGTATTTTTAGATAATCTTTATTCTGTATTTAGAATTATTTCCCTAAAGTTAAACTACCAGATAAAGATAGAAACATTTACCCTATTTATAAAAATAACATGTTAGGACTTCCCTGGTTGTGCAGTGGTTAAGAATCCGCCTGCCAATGCAGGCGACATGGGTTTGATCCCTGGTCTGGGAAGATCCCACATGCCGCGAAGCAACTAAGCCTGTTCGCTACAACTACTGAAGCCTGCACCCTAGAGCCCACGTGCCACAACTACTGAGCCTATGCACCGCAACTACTGAAGCCCGTGCGCTCTAGTGCCCGTGTACCACAACTACTGAGGCCGTGTGCCACAACTACTGAAGCCTGTGCACTCTAGTGCCCGTGTACCACAACTACTGAGGCCGTGTGCCACAACTACTGAAGCCCACGTGCCTAGAGCCCATGCTCTGCAACAAAAGAAGCCACCACAAGGAGAAGCCTGCACACAACAGTGAAGACCCACTGCAGCCAAAAATAAATTTTTAAAAAATGTTAAATGTAGGAAATTTGGAAAATAATTATTTTGTTAGATCTCTACCCTGAACATATGGACTATTTCCTTCCAGTCTGTGGCCATGAACAGTTTTTAGGATTATTACATAGTATGACTTTTCTGATAGGGTTGTAGTGAAATACATCTCCAGCTACATATGGGCTTCCAGTATTTAAGTATTACTAAGTTCAGAAAACTTAGCTTATTTATAACATAAAAATGTTATCTCGTTTTATAATGTATCAAACACTTTCAAACTGATTCCTTTCTCTACAAGCCGTCAATTAGCTGTATCAAAATTTCTGAGCACTGAGTAGTAGTTCGGGAGGCAGAAAGACTTGGAACTGCATTCAGGCTCTGACACTTATAAGCTGCCTGCTTCCTAAAGCTTTAAGCAAAAGAAACAGTGTCCAAAGCACTCTTTTCAGTAGTTGTAGGAAAAGGAATTTTAACTCCCATTTTCCAGTATTTTATTTGTGTTTTCAAACCTGTTTCATCAGATTGTTTTTTCAAAAGATTCAATTTAACAGAAAATTATAATAGCAGAATCAGTTACATGGGCTGTTGAGACATAAGAAATACCTTGGCAAGCATGACTAGATTTAGATTTCTGGTGGCCATTCCAACCTGCCTCAATTCTTGGTACTTTTTTGTCCCCCAGAGGATACAAAAGTAGTTATAAAACTGCATGATGCAATGTGTTCATTCCCAGTGAAAACATGTCTTTGGGAAATTTATTCAGTATGGAACTACCTGGCTTACTTTCCTAAGTGGAAATAATGAGTCTGAATAAACATTTCCAAATTTATGATTAAGACATGTTTCTGAAACAAATTCTCTGATTTCAAACTTGTTGCCTTTTACAATTAAAATTTCATTTTAACAACTACAATTGAGAAATTTTTGAAAAGTAGTGAAATATAAGTAGCGAAAAACAGACATGAAAATGCTGGAATATTACAATTCCACAAGTATCATGGGAGTAGTAAAGTTAAAAATTTATTTTTTAAAGATTCGCAACATTTTTGGAAGAATATGTATTTGTGAAGTTGTTTTTAGTTATAAAACCGAACATTATTAAGTATCATTCCCAGTTCAAGGATTCAAAAAGGAATTATAAGTTCCAGGTCTCAATGTAAAATACAAGTCTCTATCCTGACCATGGCTGGTACAGAAGAAAATCCTGTCTCATTCTAAATCAATAAGAGAAATTGATCAACTAAGGGGGAAAAAAATCCTATTTTTAACTTTTAAATTTCATTAAAAAACACACTTAATTTATATTTATTAATTTTAAGTACAAACATAACGTCTTAAATGTTCTGTCACCTCTGTGTATGTTGGATGTCCTGTGTCCTCAATCCCACAGTCTTCCTCTATCTTGATTTACTCCATTTTCATAGTGCACATTTATCAGTAACTTCTGGAGAATGAGTGCATGGGAGGTAAATTTATTAAGATCTGTCCTATCTTTATTTTATTTTATTCTCATCCTTGACTGCCAGTCTGGGTATAAAATAAATTGCTCTGTTGCATTCTAGCTTTCAGTGGTGCTGTTGACAAGTCCATCAATGCCTTCTGAGCTTTGAAATAGGGCTTGTTTTTCTCCCTGGAAGGTTTTTGTTTGTTTTTTGTTTTGAAGGACCTTCTCTTTAATCCCCATGTTCTGAAATTTCTAGAGTGGCTTTAAAAAAATCCATCTTGCTAAGTACTTTCTATGTACTTGCAAAACAGAGATTCATTCAGGTAAGAAAATTTCCAGTAATTCACTGAATATTCAATCTTCTTCATATTGTCTACTCTCTCCAGAACTTTCCCCCCCACCCCAGATTCTGGATCTACTGGCCTACTTCATTAATCTTCTTATATTTTCTCTTATTTATGCATCTTTAAGTTTTTCATTCTACTTTCCAGATTTATCTTCCTAACTTGCATTATCCTTTAAATTTCTACCATATTTTAGTTTCCCATACTTTCTTCTTCTCTCTAGAACATTCCTTTTCAACAGACTCCTACACCTTCTTTTCTCTTCCCAATATGATTTATAGTTTTTAAGTTTCCTTCTGATCCCTGCATTGTCTTGGCTTTCTCAAACTGCCCATGTTTTACTAATGCTATGCTTTTATACATGATGTCAATCAATGAACATCAGACAACTGAAAAAAGCCTCTGTCAGAGGAAGGCAAAAATGGCCTGTCAACCACAAGCCCCTCACATTAAATATTGCCTTTAAATGACATCCTCAGTCTAATTTTTTCCCAGCCTCGTGCCGAAACACACACACACACACACACCAGTTTTACTGACTAAAGGTCCCAGTTTTAGACATAAAGAATAGATTTCTGGTTGTCAAGCAGGAGGGGGTGGGAGAGGGATGGGCTGGGAGTTTAGGATTAGCAGATGCAAACTTTAAATACATAGAATTGATAAACAATAAGGTCCTACTGTATAGCACTGGGGACTATAAATATCCTGTGATAAACTATAATGGAAAAGAACATGAAAAAGAACATATTTATATGTATAACTGAATCACTTTGCTGTACAACAGAAATTAACACAACACTGTAAATCAACTATACTTCAATAAAATAAATTAAAAAAAAAAAGCCTCTGCCGGAAAAAAAACAAAAAACAAAAAGAAAATTTGAGGAAACAGAGATAGTTACTATTAGATAATGAGGATAAGACGATGACGAGTAAAGAGCTCAAAATCACTATAACTTTGATTGATGGTTGTTATAAGAAAATAGTATAAAAAATCTGAAGAAATACTACAGAAAGAAATTTCAGCTTATTAACATTCGAAACTGAAAACAATTCTTCCTAGAACAAAAAAGGAGAGTTCTAAAATAGTTTCAATCTGTGATTTTAAACTCTTCATATCTATTTTCATGCCTCAAGTATTTGCTATTCATATTCAGAAGACAAAAACTGCATCAGTACTTTAAAGCTCTCAAAGCATATAAAAGTTAACCCAGTACATCTATAAAATCTCTAATATAAACTGAAATGGACAACAGATCAAATTTTAATAGCAGTATGCTTCCAAAGGAGTCAATTTATAACCTGATCAAAATACCAGAATGTTAGAAACAGGAATATATTTGGCTGTGGTACAGAATAGAGCCAAGGCAAAAATCTGGGAGAAAGGCAGAAAGTAGCGGAAAAGCTTGACAGATTTGACACAGAAACTCTGGAGTGTGAACAAAGAGATGATAAAAGCCAAATTAGAGCGTTTTCTCTTATTTCCAAGGATCCTTTCAAAATTCCATTTCTGGTATAATCATCACTAATCACCCAAATAAATAGTAAAACCAAAGTACCAAACAAAAATTTACTGAATTTTTTGCAGCCAAATATTATATATTCATAACTATCATAAATATGCTATTTATGAGTTTTCACTTAAACATTTCATGAATTTATATACTCAAACTAGCCACGTGAGCTCCCCACTCCCCTGTTTTCTAAAGAATAAATGAAGAAATTCTTATAGCTCAAAACAAAAACACCCTGCAAACTCTATTCTCACTCACTAAAATTGGTTTATAACCTACTAGTGGGTTGGGTTTGAAAAATACTGTCCTAGAAATTATCTTTCACTTCTTTAGTGAGATATAATTCACATGCCATAAGCTCACCAATCTAAAGTGTACAGTTCAGTGGTTTTAGTATATTCAGAGTTGTGCAATATTACCACAAACTAAATTTAGAACATTTTCATTCCCCACCCCCACCCCCAAAGCCCCGAACCCATTAACAATCACTCACCATTACACTCTTCCCCCAGACTCTGGGAAACACTAGTCTACTTTCTGTCTCTATGAATTTGCTTATTCTGCATATTTCATATAAACGGAATCGCATATTATGCAGTCTTTTGTGACTGACTTCTTTCACTTAACATGTTTTCAAGGTTTATCCATGTTGTAGGATGTATCAGTACTTCACTACTTTTTATGGCTCAATAATATTCCATTATATGG